TTTATTAAATTTATCATTAAAATCACAATTCATCAGGCGTTTGCCGTCCGGCATCCGTCCGTCCTTCTGAAACTTTTACTTCAACTGACATCTCATAAACCGCTAAGTCAATTTCATCTAAACTTCACAGGAATGTTCCTTTGCTGATCACCGTTAAAAGAATTGCATTCCATGAAGAACTCTGGTTGCCAAGCAAACGAAAGAAAACACTTTAATATCTTCTTTTAAAAAATTTAAAGAGCTAGATCAAAGATATTTGGCATTAAACATCTTCTAGTGAGTGTCTACCAAGTTTGTTCAAATGAAATCAGTTAGGTCAAAATTGACCCCGGCCTGATTTGCCTTACATGTATATTTTAAAAACATAAAAACACAAAGAAATTGAGCTTAGATATTATGCTTGAAAAAAGGCGACATATAATGGTTACTTTTATCGGCGTTGTCGGTGTCGCAGTGGCGGCGTCTCCTAAGGCTTGTCAGGAGCATAAATAAGTCAAAACGTTATTGAGAACATTTTACCTGGACCTTTGAGGTTGCAACCAGGATGCCGAGTTCTGCACATCATGCCATAATGGGAATCATTTCTGCCAAGTTATTTCCTTTTTTCAGAGGTTTAAAATTATTATGGAGCAGACCCAAAATAAAGACTTTTTAACGTTTGACCTTTAAGTCTGACCTTGACCTTAGGGGTAGCAACCCAATTATTGCACTCTAATTATTGTCTCATAATGGTGATCACTTGTACCAAGTTATTTAAAAACAATTTCGTTATGGAGCAGACACTAAATGTAGACATTTCAACACTTGACCTTTAAATGTCACCTTGACCTTGGGGGTAGCAATTCAAATCTTGAACTCTGCATATCGTCTCATAATGGTGATCACTTGTGCCAAGTTATTTTAATTTTTTGCGGCAGTTTAAAAGTTATGGAGTGAACACGAAATGTACTTTTTAATACTTTTTCGTGTGACTTTGACCTTTGGGTAACAGCCCAATTATTGTGCTCTGCACATCGTCTCATAATGGTGATCACTTGTGCCAAAAATTTATTTACAATTGATACAGCTGATTATCTACAGCTATGAGCTCGGAAAATATTGGTATCTATATCTGCATCTTTCATAACCATTTTTAACCACCTACCTATTGTATCTTTTGTTACCTTTTTATATGGCCTACAAAAGAGCAGTTTCTGTATTTCTTAGATTCTTTGTATCATTGAGATAAAGTTTTAGTAGGCTTGCTAATCATAATCTTTTGTCCGTGTATTCTTTAAACATCAATTCTTTTAAATGGTATTAGGTCTGGATTGCTTCAAAAGATCACCGAATCTAATTTTTACATGATGTGTAGAAAACTCTATGCTCCTAATATCTATGCAATGCAAAGATTGTAATCTTTGTCCTGATAAAAGACAAGACAGCATAACAACAGTTAATATCAGCTGTTTCAAATTATTTACACTAGCCGAAGCAAGATAATCAAGTACCTTTGAAGCATCCCAAGTAACATTTTACCTAGGCAGAGCTGGTCGTAATATAAACACACCTCTCATAAATCTTTTCACAAGGAAATGTTGACCAGCATTTTCTCCTAACAAAATAAATGAATTTATGGCTAAACGAGCCGTACACAAAGCACTGTAACCAAGTCCTTTCTTATAAAGCATTGCCAAAAATTCTAAAATATTTACATTTGGTGAAATGGAATTAATGTCCCTTTCAACACAAAAAGACATCCATTTCTGGAAATAACTCTTATATTGCTTGATTGTTGTATTTCTCCATGAATGCAGTATGATTTCTGTAACATCATCTGATAGTCCCTGTTCTTTATGTTGTTGCCAGAGATACGGAACACAGCTAAATGATTTTTGTCAGTAGGGGTTGTGGGTACTGATTGTTGGGTAATGTTAGTAGATCTTCCTGTACTGGAAGAAGATAAGGACATGTTATTGTCATTTTCAGTAGCTGCGGGAACCACACTTGCGTTGGCAATACCGGTGATACTAAAACAGCCTCTGCTTCTTCTTGTTGTATTTTCTGTAGAGCTTGACTGATACAACTAAATGGAGGAAATAAATAGTTCAAATTAGAAGTCCATGATTGTAAAATGCATATACAGCTATTGCATTAGGGTCATCCCTCCAAGAATAGTACCGAGACAATTGACAATTTATTATGTTTGCAAATGGATCAATGCCAGGATTCCCATAAAGCTTACAAATCATTTAAAATACATTTTTGTTCAACATCCATTCGGTATCTAAATTAAAACCCCGTGACTCTGAATCTGCAGATACATTATTTGAACCTTTAATATGTTCACAGGAGAGCCATTTCTCTCTTTCTATAGCAAACAACCAACTTTGACGAGTTATATCATTGAGATTGTATTTCTTAGACTCTTGTTCATTGATGCAGATGACTGTAACTGTATTATCAGATCTTATTCGTATATACTAATTGCGCATTTCTTTGCAGAATGATTGAAGTGCCAACAAAACAGCCTAATTGATATGATTTGTACGCACTCTTTCATCCCATTGACCACCTGTTGCTAGGTCATTCATAACACTACCCCACCCCTCTTTGCTTGAATCCGTAAAGATCACAGTATCAGGCTTTGTGCTATTCACTGTTTTTTTCACATGTAGGTAGATTAGATATCCACCATTGAATATCACTTTTACACTCTTCATTCAAATGAACAGTTACATCAAAGTTCCCTTTATTGACCCTCAAAGCCTCATTTTTCGTAATATCTAACCGTTTGTAATATATACAGCATGTGGCGCCGCAAGAGAGCTTGCCACCTATTTCCCTATTACTTGAGATAATACTTTGATAGTACAAGTAGTCATTGATAATATAAAAGCACAGCGGGTTCTTCATATGTATCCCTATTTAGCAGAGTATCGTCAATGTAAAATACATTTAAAAATGATCTTTTCCTAAGTTTAGTGGAAACACATTTTAATAGTTTCGTGTAGTACCGAGGTCCTAAATTCAGACAATTTGGGAGGCAAGTATACTGGTAACATACCTCATTGAAAAAGAATATCAGATGTTTTCTATATGGTTTTTTCACATTGACACTGTAGAATGCGTCCTTTAAATCACAAATAGCAAAGAAAGATCCTGGTTTCATTAATATTATAGCTGACTGCAATGTTTCCATTTTAAAATGCTTTGCGTCAATAATGTAATTCAATCGTTTTAAATTTAAACTCAATCGAATGGTTCCATCTTTTGTATATCTTATAAGCAAGTTTGAAATAAAAACCAACATATTTGCTTAGTTGTGTATCAGAAACCTTTTCAATCACCTGTTTACACAAAAGTACATTTATTTCAGTTTGAATTAGCAAACATTTTTCGGAATTAAATGGTATAGGATTAGGAATAACGTTTTGACACTGTAATTCAAGAAAAGGTATTTCTATTCCTTTAACGGTATTGATAATCCAAGGCTCAGACGAAATATTTTCCCAAGATGAAACAAAATTCCATATTTTACTAGCTATAAAGTTATTAGGTGTATTCTTAATGTTAAAATTATGTAAAATGCTAATCTCTGGTTCCTCACAATTTAATGTATCTGGATTATTTATTTCTACCCGTTTTCCTCCGTCTTGTACTTTGACTTCTGGAAACGACGTTTGCCTAAAAAAAGGCTTCTTGTACAATTGTTGTTTCCCTTTTTTGGAGTTTGAGTAAGGGTGACTGCGATGCTTGTTGAAACTTCCTCTTTCTAACCTTATTGTAAATTTTGATGACACAGCCTTTGTGTCATTTATCTCTTTTATTTTCTTGCCCAGTTCGTCCCAAAATATCCTCTTAGTGGATGGTTCGTTGTCTGTGCTACACAGTCGAAATTTAAACTCCTGATACATTCCAGACTTGAAATTCTCTCTTCATATTTGAGTAAGCTCTGTGAATGCTGCCGATAGACAGACTTATGCATTTGTGCATTATTTCGTTTTTATTTCTTTTTAGCTCACCTGAGCACAAAGTGCTCAAGGGTGAGCTTTTGTCATCACTCTGCGTGCGTCCGTGCGTCGTGCGTCCTTCAAAAAATGGCGTCAAACTTTTCAAACAACATCTCCTCCTAAACCACATGGCTAATTGCAACCAAACTTTACAGAAATGATCCTTAGGTGGACCCCTTTCAAAGTTCAAAAATTTAAATTCCATTAAAAACTCTGGTTGCCATGGCAACCAATAGGAAAAACTTAAAAAATTCTATTTTAAAAAATCCTAAGAGCTAGAGCTTAGATATTTGGCATGAAACATCTTCTAATGAGTGTCTACCAAGTTTGTTCAAATCAAAGCCCTGGGAACAAAATTGGCCCCGCCCCAGGGGGTCATTGATTTTCCCTATATGCATATAGTAAAAACTTAAAAAATCTTCTTTTAAAGAACTCAAAGAGCTAGAGCTAAGATATTTAGCATGAAACATGTACTAATTGGTGTCTACCAAGTTTGTTCAAATAAAAGCCCTGGGGTCAAATTGGCCCCGCCCCGGGGGTCATAGATTTTCCTTATATGTGTATAGCAAAAACTTAAAAAACTTCTTTGAAAAAACCCAAATAGCTGGACTTTAGATATTAAGCATGAAACATCTTCTAGTAAGTGTCTACAAAGTTTGTTCAAATAAAAGCCCTGGGGTCAAAATTGGCCCCGCCCCGGGGGTCATTGATTTTCCTTATATGTGTATAGCAAAAACTTAAAAAATCTTTTTTGAAAAAAACCCAAATAGCTGGAGTTTAGATATTAAGCATGAAACATCTTCTAGTGAGTGTCTACAAAGTTTGTTCAAATAAAAGCTCTGGGGTCAAAACTGGCCCCGCCCCAGGAGTGTCATTGTTTTTAACTATATGTGTATAGTAAAAACTTAAAAATCTTCTTTTAAAAAAAAGAGCATTGATGTTTAGCATGAAACATCTTCTTATTGGTGTCTACCAAGTTTGTTCAAATACAAGCCCCTGGATTAAAATTGGCCCTGACGGGGGGGGGGAGTAGATCATTGTTTTTCATTATATATGAGTAGTAAAAACTTAACATTGTGAAACATCTTCTAATAGGTGTCTTCTAAGTTTGTTCAAATAAAAGCCCTAGGGTTTAAACTGGCCCCGCTCCGGGTGCCTTTATACAGGTGAGCGACCTGAGGGCCATCATGGCCCTCTTGTTTTGTTTTGTTAGGTATTTAACAACACATGAGCACGCTGTTAGAATTAAGCCCTGGTTTTTGATAAATTCATGTCTTTATTTCTCAGATTTTGATGGGCATCTTTCCATAGTTCAATGTTAACCTTAGGAACACTCATATTAATAACATTTGCAGGTCTGTGAAATTTTTCAAGTATGTCTTTTTTATCTTTCTTGGAAAAGTTTTTTTCTAAGAGACAAATTGATATTACTGGCAAGTTTTCGTGGATTTTGTCAGTGACATTGTCGCTTTCATTGTAGAGTTTAATCATTGAGCGTAAATCTTCACAGTCACTTGTGTCTCTCCTCTGAAGAAACGTCATCTAATTCATATGACGCCGGAGCATTTGAGGAAGATATACATGTATTCCTTACTTGTTTGGATTCATTGCCACTTTCATCACTCACAGTCATTTTGTCATTTATTGTTTTTGGTGCAATGCCTGGACTGTCTTTAAAAGCAATGTTTGCTGGTAAAGCATAGCTTGCAATATACCAGCAGGCATACTTTGGCCCGATATAGTGGGGATACATTGCCCCTGTTTGTTGGGGATACTTTGCCCCTGATCGGTGGGAATACTTTGACCCGCAAGCTCAGCAATATCTGACGGACAAGATGATTCATGTTGAGAATTAACACTTTCCATTTTTAAATTAAAATATTTTGTCACAAGTTTTCTCACAATTTCTTATAAAATCCGTTATCTTTGAAAGTCATGTAAGACATAAAATCCAAAAAATGTTATTAAAAAAATCTTCCCTAAAATATTTGCACACTTTTATTTTCAAACACAATATTCCAAATATATAACCACTACATTGTACATGATATCACAAATCTTTAATTAATTAATCTTATAAGCCACCGCTATTTATAACTGTTTCTTTTAATGAACCTACTTGTAAAAAGGGAATTGACCTGTCTCTCTCCTGTTAGTTCTCAGCATGTATATAGATGTAGTCCAATATACATGACACAGCATCAAGATCATGGTCTGTTAAAGGTCAAGAAGTACACATTGATGTCTGCTGCAGAAGGAGATTTATCTGTTCTTCAGACTGCGTTATTCTCTTTTAAATTCGTCCTAGAAAATTTCAGTTCGTGTTTTTCTTCACCTGTCATTGGAATGTCAGTCTTTGGGACTTCGTTTTGCAATTTGACTTTCTTGATATCACTTTGCCCAGTTATTGAATAGTGTGTTGTTTCATCCATCCCGAGATTGTGTTTTCTATTATGTTCAAGTCAATACTTATGATTTTGAAAGAGGTCTGACATTTCATTGTTGTTTTTTTATCAGATTTTTCTGGCTGTCTGTTACACTAGTCTCTTGTATAGCAGATATTGTCGTTTTCGCATTCTCTATTTTTAATTTTAAAAATAATTAATTTACTGCAAGAATTTTCTTTAATACACGTATTTGCTGTGCAATCACAATTTACTAATAAGTTACTGTCTTCAAGAATGACTAAATAGTCTTCTGATATGCTTGTTTCTCTCCTTTGTCTATGTGTTCCTAATCGAACTCCTGACTTTGCTTATTTTCCTTCTTACAAACTATTGGATAGTCTTCTTCTAGATCAATTTTATAGTCTCTTCATTTTTGCTTTCATAATAGTCTAAGATTGATTGCGCAACTCTACAGTCAGTTTTCTGATCCTCTGTTTTCTGTGTTACTGGACATTCTACACTTATTCTGATTTCCTCAGGATTCTTCTTCGATGGTGTCACAATTGGCGAGATCCATGGAGTTGGTTCATTTTCTACCTTTTCAGTTCCCTTTCTTCACACATCTTCACATATTCTTCATGCACTCTATACATCTCCTTTTGCGTAGATTTTAATTCCTCCCTGTTAACAGAAAAATAACATATGTTATAACAATTAAATATCAAACCTAAAAACACAATAAAAATCTTACATTCACATGTCAAATTTCAATTTGGACGCAACTGTTCATCATTTTTTTAAGCAAACACTGCAGACAAAGATCAAACAGCACTGAAGTAAATGGTGATCTTGTTCTGCAATGGTTGAATGGATAGAATGATAGAATCAGTTGCCCCAAGGAGGCTAATGGTTTCAATGTATAGGGCGCAAATTATGCAAACTCAGTCATTAAGAAATGTCCTCATTCAATAATTTTGTAATTTCTTTTTCGACTTTATTACACAGATTAAATGGTGTTCTTCGGTATCTTTGAGCAACCGGTTTTACATATCCATTAATATGTAGTTTCACTGTCTTGTCTTTAAGTTTTCCTATCCCTTTGAAAAGATTTGGATATGTGTCTTGCTTCACACCCTCTTATTTTTTTCTTGTATTTGGTTTACTATTTCAATGATATTTAGATTGCATGCTGCTTGGTAACTGATAAGGCTTCCATGTCTGCCATGTACAATATAGAGTGTATCGACACTGATTATTTTTTGTTTTTCAATGGCAAGTTTGCATTTCCGATTATTTTCAAAGGTGATGGGCTGCCATATGGTAATAATTTAGACAAATTTTAATAATTTAGGCAAATTTCTGTTTGACAGTTCAGATTTACCAATTATGCTATATATATTTTCACCAAGAATATTCACCGGAGCGCCAGTGTCCAAATACATAATACATTCACTTGCTCGTCGTTGACTTTTTTTTTTTTGGGGGGGGGGGCATTTAGATTTACCCGTCCATCCGTTCTCTTTTGTGCCGCACGTTGCTCAAAAAGCATTTGACCTTGAGTCATGAAACATTATAGAAATGTTGATCAGCATGTGTAGTTGTGCACCTGGGTATTTTCGTGTGGATATATTAAGTATTTTTTTAAAGTTATTGCCCTTGACTAAATAAAAATTTACAATTTTCAACTTGTATCGCACGTAACTCAAAAAGTATTTGACCTAGTGTCATGAAACTTTATTGGAATGTTGATTGGCATGTGTAGTTGTGCACCTGGATATTTTTGTATGGATATATTTAATATTTTTAGAGTTATTGCCCTTGACTTAGTAAATATTTGCAATTTTCAACTTGTGTCGCACATATCTCAAAAAGTATTTGACCTAGAGTCATGAAACTTTACAAGATAGTTGATCAGCATGTGTAGTTGTGTACCTGGAGATTTTTTTGTGGACATGTTTAGTATTTTAGCTCACCAGAGCCGAAGGCACAGGTCGAGCTATTAGTATCAAAGGAGGATACTCCGTCGTCCGTCGTCATGCGTCAACAATCGTCTTCTTCTCTGAAACTGCTGGGCAGATTTACCTAAAATTTGGTCTGTAGCATCCTTTTGACAGTCACACGTAAATTTGCTCATGTCATTTCAATTGGCCCCTTTTAGGGGTCAACAGAGCTAAAATAGATAAACCTTTAGACATCTTCTAATACAGAACTAAAGGATGGATGATCACCAAACTTTGTCTGTAGCATTCTCGGGTAGTATTTTATCATGTTTGCTCTTATTAATTTGAGTGGCCCCTTTAAGGGGTCTATAGGGCTAAAAATAGGAAAAACCTTTAGACATCTTCTTCTACAGAACTAATGGATGGATGATCACTAAACTTTGTCTGTAGCATTCTTGGGTAGTCTTTTATCAAGTTTGATCATATTAATTTGATTGGTATCTTTTAGGGGCCACTATAGCCAAAAATAGAAATACATTTAAACGTCTCCTTCTACAGACTTAATTGATGGATGATCACCAAACTGTGTCTGAATTATTCTTAAGTTGTCTTTTATCAAGTATGCTCATATTAATTTGATTGGCTCCTATTAGGGGCCGCTAAAGCAAAAATAGAAATATCTTTAAACGTCTGCTTCTATAGAATTAATTGATGGGTGATCACCAAATTTTGTTTGTAGCATTCTTTGCTTGTATTTAATCAAATTTGCTCATATTTATTTGATAAGACTCTTTTAGGGTTCTCAACAGCAAATAATAGAAAAACCTTTAGACATTGTCTTCTACATAACTAATTGATGGATGATTAAACTTTGTCTGTAGCATTCTTAGGTAGTCTTTTATCAAGTGTGCTCATATTAATTTGATCGGCCATATTTTTGGGCCGCAATAGCTAAAATTAGAAATATCTTTAAACGTCTGCTTCTACAAAACTAATTAATGGATGATCACCAAATTTTGTTTGTAGCATTCTTTGGTAGTCTTTTATCAAGTTTGCACATATTAAGCGGCCGCTTAAGTTAAAAAATGTTAGGAGCAACTATATCTAAAATGCCTTTGACCATGGCATTTTTTCAAATTATAGTTTAAAAATGAATGGAAAATAACTCATGTTGGAATGTTTCCATAAATGTGTTCATGCAAACATGTGAACTCCCAAATTTGAGTGGGAGACACCCTCTTTCTCCTGTGACATTTTTAAATATTTTTCTAAGAATAAGGGGTGTTTTCAAAAAAATAAAGAATCTCCCTCCTTTCCATTTCAAAATTTCCTGTCAATTAAAAAATCTCCCTCTTTTTGAAGTAAATTCTTCCTCTTGAGCATTGAAAAAGTTCACATGTATGTACATGTTATGCATTAAAAAAGATTGAATGTGTAAATGTCATGACCTGTTTCCTTTACAGAGATCTTGAGGAAGTGATTTAAGGTCATGTGCTTTGTATCTTTCTGTTTGTGCCCTAGAATTTCGATGGACATTGCATCATTCTAAGGTTCATTTGTAGGTCTAAGTAATTTTCTCCAAGGCCTAAAGAAATGTTTCATTTGTTTCTCGTACCGTACTAAGTTTGTGAAAGCACAGTTCAATATATTATTAGTTATAAAGATTTTTGACAGGTTATATGGCCCTATATAAACGGCTGTTTGTAAATATAACCAGAGTTGCTAGGCGAGGGTTATATTGCAAACAACCGTTTATAAACGGCAATATAACCTGTCAGAAATATTTATAACGAATTTATAATACAGCAAGCATCATTTTTAGAGGAATCAAGCGAGAGTTCTTTATTAATCGACAGCAGCCGTGTATATAAAACTATATAAACGTCATGATTATCAAATGAAAAGTGATGTTACAAACATGCAGTATTATAAAACTATATAAAAGTCATGATTATCCGATTCCATTGAAAAACAACGTTACGAACATGCAGTATTTTAATATTTACATTGGTATTCCTCATTTAACACATATATGTAACAGTTTATTGATTTTCCTCATTGAATACAGTTTAAGTAACTGAAAATGTATTCATGTCTTCAATGAAACACTGTATAACATTACAATTATATTTCTAAGTATAGTATAAATTGTTACAACTGTACATCCTCGTTGAATATTGAACACTGTATTTAACACTACAATGGTAGTCCTTGTTGATGATTGAACACTTTATTTAACACTTCAATGGTATTCCACGTTGAACACAACAACTGAAGAGTTCTGGGATAAATGCTTTTAAATAGAAGTCATTCAAATGAGGCACCATATGATTTATGAAGAAATCTTTATCAGCAAAGATTCTTTCCACTGATATTCCCACACATGTCCAAACAACAAAATCGCACCACTTCCGTCCACTTATTCCAAGTTGCCCTTGAACCTGATAATAATAATTGTGAGTTTGTTTCAAAGTAACCTTTCCATCACGCAAAACACAAAAGAACTTTGAATCAGTTGCACACTCTTCTGGTGTTTTCATTCTCCAGCTTAAAGAAGATGGACATTTAATTTCAAGTAAACCATTGTGGCTTTCACAGTGAGTACAGTTAATAAATCCATCTGGACTTGCCCCAAGATGGGGATAATCCGGTGTCACTAGCAGTCCACATTTTTTCACAGTAAGTCCAGGATGTGATTTTCTCATAAATTTTTCGTAATGTTTCCTAGCCACATTTTCATGACTCTTTCCATATTTTGTATGGATGGTATCAAATGTTCTGTATTTTAAAATGTCTTTCAATGTGGAATCTGGTTTTGTACATTTCTTTAATTTACAAATTCTTCCAAAGTTTGACGCTGTTAGCCTCTCTTCTCTCGCGGTTGCCCATAAATCTGACCCACTTTGATTTCTAGTGAGGCATTCAATACTGACACATTCACTTGATGTAATTTTCAATGAGTCAAAGTATGTACAAATGTACTAAAGAACTGTCTTTCCATAACTCCTTCCAGATTCACCTTATCACTATAATTAAATTTTATGTCATGCAGTTTTGGAAGAAAAATCTGATCTGATTTTAACTCAAAGTTCTTCAGCCACCATGCATTTGAATTAAGACTTAGAAGCTTGTCCTTGAACTTTTCAACATCTACTGGATTTTTTATGTCATATACAGGAATTAGCATTTTTTTCCTAATACTTTCTTTACCGTGAACTACCTTCTTAAATGTAGGGTCCTGTGACTTTTTAGGTGTCAGTTTCCTCTTCCGTGGATTGCTCCATGTACATTTCATTGATGTGGGTGCCAATTTTCCATCCCGTTTCTTCTCGGTAATGTCTGCAATGGCATAAAAGAGGGCCGTGACATTGTTACAGCCTTTACCTTCCCTAAATAAATAAAAAAAAAAAGAATATATTTTGTCAGATATATAATATTAACCACCTTAACTGAAACATCATGATAAATTTTAAAAAGCTATCTCATCAATAACAATTGAAATGTTATGTGCTCAAATGAAATTTCCAAATTTCCCCCACTTACATAAAATGTTCATAGTAGATATAAACTGTGAAATGGGCGGCAGTCGTAGTGCCAAAATGTATGTATTTCTCAATTAACTTAAACTATTAACAGCGTTTTTCCCCCTTATAATATAACTAAAACCAGAAAATACACTGTTCCGAATAGAAAATTGACAGCAAATATTCCTGACTGATAAATTCCTAAAATATTTTATTAACTATGAAAATTTCCTTAAAAAATCGACAAATTTAAAGGAAAACAAAACAGTAATTTTTTGGATGCTTCCATGTTGATAAATGATATAAGTAACGATAAAAACCAAGTATGAGCACATGAGTGATATTCGTCTCAGTTCATTTCATACTTTTAGTGTTTCACACCTAAACATTATTTATGTACAATTGTTTTCAGTTTCTTTTTCAATCTCAAGTGGATAAAAATCATTAAAGTTAATAATACATAGTTTTAAAGTGCATAATTTTCATGTCTCCCTGTGTCATGATAAAAATGTTCCCAATGAATATTTTGCAAAATTCCCAATTTGAGTCAAACCGAAGGATCTTTTCCCCATTCGGTCCTGTACCGGCATCATTCCCAAAGCAGGGAAAAAAACACTGATCAGTAAAAGTGGTTGAATCATACACCTACCCGCCACTTAAAGTTTTTTAAAAAAAATACATGTAAGAGGTCTGAAGCCAAATTTAAAATTGACCAAATTTTTTTATGTTTCATCTGTGTCCCAAAATAAAAATTTACAAAAAATTTCCCTTGCAAATAGGGGACAATTTATAGTGTACAGATTAAATATAATTAAACGCGCAGTGCAACTACTTTCTGGGAATTAAACATCCATCATTTTTGACAGCATAACCCATACATTGTAGTCTGGACACTGTTTCTTATTTGTTGTTGGCATTGAAGAAATACCTTTACATTTAACAAAACAGTGACTTTGGTTTTCATCTGTCTCATTTACCTGAAAAAATAAATGTTTATCAATTTTTCACTGATTTCATGTAAATTTGATGATAATTTGTTTAAAACAAGTCCATCATACAATCATAGAGGAAAAATAATGATGTTCGGCCATTTTTATTTTGACAACGTTTTGGATAGGTTTATCAAAATTAAATTCACCTTAATTAGTTTTTGTGAGAAGATTAACTGCTTTGTTATTTACCAGGGATTTTTTTAGCTTATTTTATAACGGATATTCGGTCATAAAATATTATATATATTTTCAAATAAAAATATGTATTATTTTCCTAATCCACAGGGAAAAAATCCCAATTGAGTAACACAATAAAAATATTGAATAAAACAATATAAAATCTTGGGAAATAAGGCCAGGGCTTTTGAAATTCCCAATTTCTTAGGTATGGGTCATATTCCCAAAATCCTGGTAACTGGTAAAACAACCGGTTAATTTACAAGTATAATAATTATTAAAAAATACTGTCGTAATCTAACTACAGGTGGAAATTGACCCACAGATATGTCAATTAAACCTGTAACCGTTATACTGAGAATCTGGGTCAGCACGGCCCTAAAATGTAATTGGCCCATATTCAAACTCAGCAATGGTAAACAAATAGGTTGGATGCACAAGTGTTTCCCCTAAAGGCGTGTTCAACCGCTCATATTCTCTTTTTCGAGTGTCCTGAATGTCCGATTCATGAGCCTTATAAACATTCCCAATGTCCAGCTTACAAGCATCTTTCACCCGCTCTATTAAGTCAGACTTATTTCCCGACACACGTTGTCCAACACTACGTAGGTACTCCTTTAGTTCGTTGATTTTACAAGTGTTTAACGTTTCATTTTTCCACGCATCAACAACTCTATTGTCTTCCTCCTCCTCTATAAAACAGGAAGTACATGTAGTCCCCGGAAGTAGAATAAGACATATCAGGGGACGTAATCAACGCATCGCTAAGGGCGATAACCTTGTTACGGGAAAGGGCTATTGGGACACACTGTTGAACCTGATGTTTCATGTGCATGGGATATTGTCACTGTGTAACAGATAGGTGATTGTTTTTCACTGAGACCCATTTACAGTATCTGTTGTATATAATATATTGATAATATATAGAATAGCCTGACCGATAGACCTGTAATTGTCTGATTAGCCTGAACAGCTGCATAACCACTTTCCCTGATCTTTTTTTCTTTCATAAGGCAATATTCAAATAATTTTTCAATAGAGAAACACTCAAAATAATAAATCAAATGTTAATAAATTAGAATTTATTTCATAAATGTAGATATGGCTGAAATTAATTTTCATCTTATTTTGCTTAATAATCTTTTTAATTTAGCATTGTACATTAAGGACCAAAACTTAAGTTTAAGTGAACTCATGTCAACTTTAGAAGTATTTCTTGCTTGTCTTTATGTAATTTTGCCATTTTTTATTCTTTGTGCTATTTTAGTATCAGTTTCAATTATTTCTATTCAGAAGCACATTTTGCAAACTTGGTAATCACTTGTTGAAAGTAATTTTGCACTGTTTCATTCAATGTATGTAAAGTCGTTTTAATGTTCACTAAATACATTTCATCAAACAACCTTTTGCCTTTTTCCTCTTTGTAGTTAAAGTTACAATTTTTCCCATTTCTATTAGAGAGTAAGATAATTAACATGAAATGTTAACTTTCTGGTCGAGTTGACTAGTATACCTATGTTATCTTAAATAAATATTGACGGGTAGTGTTATCCTGACAATTAAATAATTAGATAATTAAAAAAATAGAAAGATCGCAATTTTGAAAAACAGTCCTAGGCAAATTTTATCACAAGTTAATGAATGGATGATCACCAAACTTGGTTCCTATCATTTTTACTATAAAGCAAAAAACAATCAGTGTCGGGATACCTTAAACTAGAGAGGCAAGTTGAAGTTGACCTGGACTTGTCTGTCTACAAGTTTATTTGAAAAAAATATTTCTATAATCACTGATAAACAGTTGTTTCTGGTGAGCGATTCGGGGCCATCATGGTCCACTTGTTAGAGGTATTGCCCTTGCCTTCGTAAAGATTTACGATTTTCAACTTGTGTCGCACGTAACTCAAAAAATTATTTGATCTAGTGTCATAAAACTTTACAGGAATATTGCTCAACATGAGAAGTTGTGCACCTGGGGTTTCACTTGTGGATTTATTCTGTTTTGTCAGATTTATTGCCCTTGGCATAGTGAAAACCGTTCCATTATGTTGTTGTTGTGTTATTTGTTCCTCGATTGCTTGAGTTAGAATCAACCAATTTTACAGGAATAATGATCAACATCACTGTGAAGCTATGCACGTAAGGTTTTGCATGTGGATTTTTTTCAGTTTTGTTATAGTTATTGCCCTTGACTTAGTATAAATTTGCAATTTTCAACTTGTTCATGCATAAGTCAAAAAAATTTTAACCTGTAGGTCTGAAAGTTTACAAGAATGTTGGTCAGCCATGTACTTATGTACCTTAGGGTTTGCTTGTGGATTTTTTCAGTATTTGTTAAGTTCTTGGCCTTGACTTAGTAAACGATTTTTAGTTTTCAACTTGTGGCACATGCAGCCTAAAATTACTGACCTAAAGTCATAAGATTGACAAAACAGTGGAGGGTGGGGGCACCCGTGTCCTATGGACATATTTCTAGTTACATTTGATTTTGGTGTTTTCGACACATTGGACTTTAAAGCGTAGCAATAATCGTCATCTGATAAACAAGAATCAGTTTTAGTTTCTTATAATACCTTCTTGTCTGAATGTACTAGGCTTTGAGGTTTGATATTTGGTATGTGTTATAATCTATAGGTACTTTACCAAAGTTGTTCAAATTTGCCTCTTGTGTCAAAACTAGCCCCGCCCCGGGGGTCATAGGTTTTCTTTACATGTATATAATAAAAACTTTAAAAAATCATCTTCTCTAATTGACAAAGGCTAGAGGTTAGACATTTTGCATTAAACATTGTGTAGTAAACCTCTAGCAAGGTTGTACAAATTATAGCCTTGGGTCAAAATTGGCCCCGCCCCTGGGGATCTTTGATTTTCAGTCATTATATCATAAAGTAAAAAATTAAAAATCTTATTGTCTGAAGGTACTAATCTGATAATAACAGATAGGTAAGTGATCTATGCATTATGGCAATATGTATAGAAAAAAAATTGTGTTCCTACATTACTATTTAGTGTTGTATTTATGCGATGGCATGGCATTTTTTACAAATGCAATCTTGTTTCGGCATACTATCATGAAGTAATTGGGCTTTTTACAAAAGTTGCAAGTTTTGCCACGGGCTGGACATTGTCTATTGTGAGGGTATCTTCCCCCACAATTTCTGCATTTGGTAGTTTCAATATTTCTTGGGCAAAACTGTTGACCGCCTTCTGTAGGTCTTCTTGCGCCTCTTCGTCCACGATATGGTGCGTCTTGTGAATGTTTGACCTTATTTATGGCTGCCGGTTTAGGAGATTCCATAGCAGCAGCTTGCTCATTTGAAATTTCCGATGAGCGTCCTAGTGAAATGATGTCAGTCAGTGTTTTGCAATTGTCACGGAGGGCTCTTCGATGCTGTCTACTAGATTTGCAGTTTTGAATTATTTGTTGTAATATTTCTTCAGTGTCTCCGCAATTCTGTGACATATTCATCTAGTGATTGGCTCTAACTTTGATTACAGGCCCTAAATTTATAGATTTCCATTTGTTTATTTACTTTAAGGGCGAAATAGTCCGTGAGTGGAGGTATACCAGCCAAGATGTGTTTATGCTTCAACCTTTATAAATTATTTTTAATCTATTCTTCACTTTTCATCTCGTTGCCAATGATATATCTTCAGGGTGTAAACATAATGATCTAATAGAAACATGTGTGTACCATTTTGGTCAGTAACAATCTATAGTAACACAATCTGTTTTTTCGTTACAGATTCAATGAAAGTTTTTATATTAGGTAGAACTTCTATGGCTCTTTCTAATTAGTCCCCTACCGGTTTACCGGAGGGGACTTTAGGTTTACCCTCCGTCCGTCTGTCCGTCCGTCTGTCCGTCCGAGCAGACGAGAGCTCCATTATGAGGTTTAGGTTTATGTACAGGCACTCTGTATGGGGTTCATTCCGTAGAGACATGTATAATGTGGTTAAAAATGCTCTTATGGGGTTAAAAAAATTTGCTCTTGTGGGGTTAAGAGATCAAAGGAATAACCCCACAAACAAGTCTGCTAAGTATGTCCGTCCGTCTGTCTGTCAGTCCGTCAGTCCGTCCACAAAACTGGATCCCGCGATAACTTGAAAAGTACTGAAAATATTTTTATGAAACTTGGTATATGGATAGATGGCAGTATGGAGATTATGCACGTCTTTTTCTTTACTTCCTATGTTGAAAATTCTGGTTGCTATGGCAACAAATATGCTGAAAATATGGCAAATTTTACACATAAACTGGATCCCGCGATAACGCAAAAAGTACTGGAAATATTTTTATGAAACTTGACACATGAGTAGATGGCAGTCTTGAAATTATGCACGTCTTTTTCTTTTCTTCCTATATTGAAAATTCTGGTTGCTATGGCAACAAATATGCTGAAAATATGGCAAATTTTACACATAAACTGGATCCAGTGATAACGCAAAAAGTACTGGAAATATTTTTATGAAACTTGACATATGGGTAGATGGCAGTCTTGAAATTATGCACGTCTTTTTCTTTTCTTCCTATGTTGAAAATTCTGGTTGCTATGGCAACACATAGACTGAAAATATGGCAAATTTTACACATAAACTGAATCCAGTGAAAACTCAAAAAGTACTGGAAATATTTTTATGAAACTTGACATATGGTAGATAGCAGTTTTGAGATTATGCATGTCTTATCTGTTCTTCCTATTTTGAAAAAATATCAGTTGCCTTGGCAACAAATAGGCTTAAAACATGGCAAATATAACAATATTTGTGATTAGTCAAAAAGAGCTGAAAATTTTTATGAAATTGCATCTTTAATTCAAGAGTTATCTCCTCTTTAAGAATTTTGCTTTTAAAATGTTATATTTTGGTAACAGGGATGTTTCAAATATTAACTTTAGAGTGTCCTTCAGTCCGTCTGTCTGTCTTTTCATAAAAACTGTTTCCTGTGATCACTTTTAAAGAACTTTTCCAACAAATTTACTTAAAATAGAGAAAAATTGAAACACTAGTGAATGGCCAATGGCCCATCAGAATGTTGATGGGGTTCTAACCGGTAGGGGACTTATGGATTGCTTGCAATACTATGATAATTGCTTGTTCACCAATGTTCTCCACCCAGCGTACCTGACAAAATATAAGGATATAAACATTGCTTAGTGACTTTTTCATAATCATGTTTTCTAACTGGAGAATCCACAAATAAAGTGTGCAAGGATGTTAATTTATGCGAAATGTCCCATTCCGTATCTCTAACTCCTTGATGGAAACAATTATGCATGGTATGTAAGCTACACTAACCAATATCTAAATACTTTTTACGATTTACTGATTTCTGTAAGATATCAAAAGTTGCCAAGTTCACATTTGGTTAACTGAACGATATTACTAAGTCTTTTTTATTTTCAATGCAATTTTCAAAACTCTGAACTAAAGCACAACTATGCCCTAAATAGTCTTATGTGAAGAAACGACTGGTTGCACAATTATGATCCCAAAATCTCACCCAAATATCCAGTTGTTTCTTCTGTAATTCTCGATTCAACGGTTCATCAAATAGCAGTACATACTCAGTACCTTTAACTTTGTTCTCTAACAATGAATTAAGATATGATGCAATCCCATAACATGCTAAAATACACTGACTTTGTTTGTGCTAAACTCATACTTTTAACAATTTCTGAATCACTGAACATTTTTTTTGAAAAACAAAATCTGTTTCATCATTTGATGAAATGAGTTGCCATCACTGATTCAAGCACCACCAGACTCTTGCATTTAAAACTTCAGTCGTTCTAATAAATGAAGAAATTGTGCATGTTTCCGTTTTCTTTGCATGCAAAGAAACATCATCTGTGACTGCTGCAGCAGAGCTATTACTAGTACGGAAATAACAGTTAAATGTCTGTGTATTAGGAGAATTTAAAGATGACAAGTTGTGCTTATGTTTTTCCCATTTTGGTGTGATATAAGGGCTGCCCTTCCCATTGAAGATATATCATTATTTTGGTTACAAGCCTTACAATATACTGATTTGTGATCATTTGATTTGTGCAGCCACAGCTTGAAGTGTTCCTCTTGGTTGTGGCTCTTCTCTGGCTTCAGTTTGTAATTTGCAAGTTTATAGTTGACTGTATGTTGACAATATCGTAAATCTCGAAATTCAGGCCAATAATAGATAATGACTTTAAGTTCAGCAGACATTTTCACAAAAAATCTTACGACAATTTTTTGTCGTAAGAGAAATCTTACGATAAATCTCCTTTTCACAAAAAAATCTTAAGAAAATCTTAAGTGCAAAATCTGTCGTAACTTTACGATAGGTCTTCCCCGTTCGTAAGTGTAATTTTTTCTCTCTTAAGGGTAAAATATCATGTATCTCTTACCTAAACTGAATAAAAAACAACAAAAAGTTGGAGGACAACTAAATATTAAGCAAACAGTATGCTATAAATAACACAAATTGAGGTATAATTAATTTTCAACATATACATTTGTGACGTCATGACTTGATGACGTCACGATGGAGAGGGTTATGAATAGTTTAAAATAATGTGAACTATACTGTAGACTTGTATTAGAAAACTTATTATTTGTACAATTGGTGAGTTCGATTTCATTGCCAGCATGTACTAGTGGTACCTTTTTATTTATTAATAACATAGTATACCTTCTTTCTGAATCTTTTAGATATATATAATTATCTTCAAGTTTGAATCATTTTTTGTTCTTATTGAAATTTGATTGTGTTCAATAGATATTTCAAGCTCTTGATTACTTGATTTTAAAACCGGAATCAAATATAGAGCATGCACATCACTATCAAATGAACGTTGCTAGGGATGTTTTTGTCGTAAGATTTATCGTTAGTGAATTTTTTATCTTAAGATAAAATTTTAACTTACGAGTGACTTTGTGAAAATGACTTAAGATTTAACTTACGATTATCGTAAGTGAAAAACTTAAGATAAATCGTAAGATTTTTTGTGAAAATGTCTGCTGAGCGACTGATGCTCTTCCGATTTCCTGATGAAAATGTAAAAAGCATGATGCTGATGAAGACGAAATGTAATAATGATCGCTGAAACGCTTGAATTGCGTGTGTAAAAGCGGAGCTCCATAATAATTACTCTTCAGCAGGATTTTAATTCTTTCGTACCCAAACTTTTTCGTACTTTTTCCCGGAGTTTTCCTGGTTTTGGTCAGTTTTCGCGAAATTCAAGACATTTTTAAGTCCGGGCTTTTTCAAATTCCCGACTTTCTCCCGATTTCCCGGTTCCGTAGGAACCCACATGCAAACACTATGCAAGTTCCTTTTATGAGAAATCTGGGATCTCCCGATTGCTCAGAGTTGCCGTTTTGTAACAAATCCAGGTCCCGTTTCATTGTTGTTGTGGTTTCAGTGATCGTTTGCAGTTATACTGTTTTGCTCCTCGGTCTTTGGTGTAATATCCCTGTTTCCTTTTTCCAATAAAAGCTCAAATAGGTTTGTGTGGTTCCTGTCTTCTTCATTTCAGCCGTAGCATGATGCCAATATAGACTGAAAAGAAAATGGGACCATACGTAAAAATTATAATTAAACTTTTATAATCTAGAATCTCATCTATAAACTGACAATGTCTTTCACTTCTTCCACTCAATATAATAGTTTAAAAAAGTTATCCATTTTAGCAAGAAGCGTTAAATATCTTCAAAAAATCATAGCATATATTTGAGAAATATGATATTCACTTTATACATTCTCAGTGTATTATAGTTATGACACTTAATATAATAACTTCAACTTGCGAAACGTGGTATCCATTTCATCATAAAACCGAATTTTTGTTAAATTTCGAAGCATATATTTGAAAAATGTGATATCCATTTCATCAAAAACAACTTTTTTATACAACGTTCAATTTTTGTCATTCAAAGATTGTGTTATTTTTAACAATCATATTCTTCAGTTTGTACCTAATCTCTTCTCCCATAATCATCCCAAAAACCCTGACCATAATCATCCCAAAAACCCTGAATTACAATAAACTGACAACTAAACCAGGAATTCTATGATTTTGGCTGAATAATTGAGTTTCTTTTTCTCAGAGTTTGAATATACGTCTAACTTTAACAGCTTAAGTCTCGTAATAACTGACATGACTGCTGCATCCCTAATCTTTTGGGGCCTTTAAGGGGGTTAATATTAGCAAATAAATTGATATACATAAACATATCTTTAATGATAATAAAGTTTAAGTAAGATTTTTCACATTTACTAAAATATCTTTATAACAATAATTTCTTTTTACTTAAATTCCTTTTTAAGAACCATAACTAATAATCCTTGGCTACTTATATATCCTAATATACAGTATATACATAACTAAATATACAATTGGCATACATGAAAACAACAAAATGCATTTTTTCACTGGTTTGTGCATTTTTTGAAAAGTTGCCTTTATACAATATAGTGAACTACACCAAAATTGAAAATGAGATGACATCGCTTCTATCTAAGTCCATATTCTATTTTCTATATTTGATATTTTATTTACAATACTCGTACATTCCATAATCTATAATGATTGTGATAAACTATTGTTCATTCAATTCTTTGTGTGGTCTCCTTCATAAACACTTAATTTTAAAACAACTTTACGATTCCATAATCAATTACATGAAATTAGATGGCCGCCATTTTGTTAGCTACATGACCATCGGCCATTACGTACTGAATCTGAAAGTCTGTGAATTCCAATCAAAATTATTTTTTAAAAATGAGCAAATGATCTAATTTTCATGCAGATAAATGCTGTGCAAAAATATCAATGACTGTAAGCTAATTGATGTGAAATGTCAAATCCTTGTGATATCCCTGAATGATAATTCATAATTCTTCTACTATTGGATGTAGACCACAGTCTGAAGGCTCTTGTATGGGAAGGTGGGCAGAGAAGGGTCATCTATAGAAATTTTCAGGAGATTGTCAAGTGAGGGGAGAGACAGACAGTTTCTGGGTGAAGTTTTTTTTTATTTTGCTTGAAGAAGCCCCTCTCACAATCAGATGTTGACACAGGCAGAATAAGGAATCTCTGGACAGCCTCTGCAGCAGCAGGATAACTAGACTTGTTGTTGATTGCTAAATTGGCACATGAAGTAGAATCAGTCACTGTTTGGTTGCTTGGATCGGACCCTAAAGCTCTAAAGTAATAGACAAAGCCCAGAAGTTCATTCCTTCTCCTTGAAAACCAACTTTGCACAAATAGTCTGACATATTGTCAATATCTGATCCAACAGAAGAAATTGGGGGGTGAAAAGATTCCCAAGGGCTTTCATAACAGCTGAATCCTCATTGTCTGCAAATCTGGAATGACGACTGGCGACCATTGAGTTCAGTATAGGGTTTTTAATGAAATCTCTAGAATTATCATCAACATCATTTACGGTTCCAAAGGCTTGTAGCAAAGCCATGTGTTCCTTTTACAACGGTTTGATAAATCGTGTGTATAGGGTCAAAATGTGTGTCGCCCCTGCTAGTTAACATAGACTTAAATATGAGTAGACATTTTGAATTCTTCTCGGCAACTACTGGTCCTAGGGTTTATATATTTAGCACATTGTATATAACTAGACTATTGTATATACTAGACTACACTCATAGTTATATAAATCATGTCCAAGATGTTGTAAATTACTACGGCAAGTCACTTTTGCTACATTTTCATGTATATAAGACAGACTGAAAAAAGTTTCTCCTCAGAAAGTACAATAAAAGCGCTTTGAATTGGGCATAAAGGATCATTTTGTGGTTTTTCTTTAAGTTATATCAGTCATTTACCAAGTGGAAATAATTGCTCGTCTCAAGGTGACTTTTTACATTGACTTGAATATTAACATGTAGGAGCGTAACATTTATCTCATAAGCACTGCAACATTTTCAATTTTGTTTTTTGGGTTTTTATATGGACTCATTATTTGACATGTAAGCTCACTACCTGGCCCTCTTCATTGGTCGTGAAATAAATTACGCCCAAATGGTGAAAATTGGATTCGCTCTGATGTCGCTTTATTTATGTGAGAATATAAACTTATGCAGCGTCAGTGGTTCTGCTCAGTTGCCCACTCAAACCTGCATTAATGCTCAAAGGGGCATCTGAGTTATTCCTTTACCCGCTACCAGTAAAGCTGGAAAATGCTTTTAAATCTTCTAGTGGGATAGCTTGTCACAAATATTATATACTAGGATTGTAGCTTAACCTTCCTCAAAAGTAATATTAATCATGCCCGACGTCAAAGATGACCCTGCCTATATAATGAGATTGTCAGAGCTTAGATAAATATCACGGGGCATCCACTTGAGGTTCCATATGAAACGTATATAAATCATGGTCCGGGTCAGTTTGCCCCACCTTATCTGTCTTTATGTTTACATAGTCTTTCCGATGATCCTTTCTTTGATTTGTTCGGTGCTCTGTTTGTGAACGCAACTTTCCCTTGTTTATCTTTCCTTTCGTGTTTTATATTGGAAAGCACTTTTAAAAGTTCCTGACGGAAACTACATCTCAATGACTTATATTTGCATTAAAGAATTATAACATATTCTAACATAACAATGAATCACATGTGAAATATCGGGGGTCATCTATACATTCTTTGTTTATGCTTTTTAGGGAGTGGGGGTTGTTTTTTTTTGTTGTTGTTTTTTTTTTGTTTTTTGTTGGGGTTTTTTTTGTGTTCTCTTTTGTCTTTTTGTACACATGCGCATAAATACATAAAATGTATGAAAAGAAAATACTTTGGAAAAATAAAATGATAAAACTTCTACATAGTGTCATTTGTTTATTCATTTTATGCTCGTCGGCATCATATATTTGTTGTTTACATTAAAGGTCTGATGTTGACCTTAGACATACCGGTTCCTGGCTTTTTAAGCTGGACTTTTTTTGGAAAAAATGGAGGTATTGTTGCAGTCATGCCGGCGTTCCCGTTGCCGTCCGCAAACTCTAATAGCCTTAATCGTAACTTTTTTAAGTTCCAGGTGTATTGTCTTCATACTTGGCCACAATAACCTTTGGGACAAGACCTTCAAGTAGACAAGCCTTGACCCTCTTTCAAAATGACCTTGACTTTCAAGGTCAAATGTTTTTTGGCGATTTTTTTCTATTAGTGTCTATAACTGTATTATTTTTTAATGGATAGTCTTGAAACTTGTAAACACAATAATCTTTTAGGATGGACCTTCTGATTGACTAGACAGACTTTCACCTTCACTCATACGTGACTTTGATCTTAAAGGTCAAATGAAGTTTTTAAAATTGACTGTAACTTTGTAATTGATAATAAATAGACTTTCTTCATACTTTGACAAAAACAACCTTTTGGAAAAGACCTTCTAAAAGGCTGAACTGACCTTGACCTTGATCTTTAAATGGCCTTGAGCGTCAAGGTCAGAGTTTTGAATTTTGTTTTAGTTGTCTTTATTTTGTTATTTTTGTAGGATTTGATCAATTCAGTGGAAATAGGAAATGAAAACAGGGTAAAAGGGTGCAGAGATTTCTGCACAATTTTTTATTGCTGTCTCTAGAATATGATATTTGTTTAAACCGTGTGTGTCAAAAGAGAATAAGAACAATTTTGCAATCTAAATTTCATAAATACAAGTTTTTAACCAAACCTTGAAAAGGAAATTATGCATAAATCACTAACCTGTTTAGTTCTTATTATCAGATAAGGAGTTCACCACAAATATTTGTTCATAATAAAGCACATGTTAAATGTAGTGTCAATAAAATTGGCTTTAAATTTGAAATAAATCAGTAGACTATTTCCATACTTGGACAAAACAACATTTTGGACAAGACATTTTGAAAGATTGAACTGACCTTGACCTTATCGTATTGACTTTGGTTAAGTTGTCATAAGTTTGTTGTTTTATGTACGAATTTCATTCATATGTCGACAAAACAACTATTGTGACCAAGCTTTCATGTGGAATAAGTTAGATATGACATTGGCCGTTAAATGTCCTTGACCTTGAAATAATTAAATGTATATTATATTTTCTTAAATTTGTCATTTATCTATTGAAAGGATTTATGGCCCCTGATTTAGCAATAAATTTTGACGCATTACTCCAAAAGTGTAACAGCTATGCTTTTACTCACCATAAATTGTACAAAGTTTTGTTTGAAAAAGAAAACAATGGATATATTGGTGTATCTATAGAAACATTTCTAGTTGAACATTGCTTAATATACAACAGATAGATAGCCACTTGCAGGGAAAAGATTTTCCTGATGAAGTACCAGAACATAACATAAAAAAACTTGTTACATCGATTAAGATATAAGGAGGTTCTCCGAATGTCTTTCAGGCGTGTTGATGGTCTTCTTGCCTAGGTTCGATGCTCAAATGGCTTACTATATGGTCTCCACCAAATAAAAAAGTGCTAACATTTTTACTTTAAAGCGGTCATCAGCTTTTCCAAAGGTTAAATATGTTACTTTTAGATCAATTGGTTCATGTAATTGCCACATCAAAAGAATTTAGGTGGAAAATGAAATTTGCCATCGATAAAATACGTAAAGAATAAGGAAACCCCTCATTACCTATAATCTACTGGTCTGATCTCTATATGTAAAAAAACATGTCCCCGATGTTCTATTTTTAGAAACGAACGTCACTGGCGCGTTATGAATAGCTCTCGGGACGCTGTTTTACAGGCTACAGTGTTACGGTACACTTTTCCAAAATAAAATTATTGATATACTTAGTTTGAAACAACACTGAATTGTTTTCCCAGATAAAAACAAAAGCTCGGGGCTGCTTTAACCCAACATACACACCAATAATCGTGGCACTTGCATGCAATATAATAGTAGTCGTAGTGTATCTAAACATGTTTGTACTGTTTATTCAAGTAAGAAGTACAATTTATACATGAATCATATAAATAAATAATTTACATAACACAGGAGATTTTACATATCATATAATGTCAATGGATTTAAATGTCAAAATAAGATGCTGGTGGGTTGTTTCTGGTTGGAATTCGTCTACATATAAGTGTTGAACAGCATTGTCCAGATCTAGGTGACAACAACGCACACCCACTGGGCACGCTTCTATGCACAGGACATCTGGAAATAGAAATATTTTGAAAATTTATTTTTAGGATAGAGTGCCATTGATTTTCGTTATTATTAATATTGTTCAGTTTTTCAAGGTAAATAAATTGACAAGAACGACAAAATAGAGAGAAATAGAATCCCTAAAGAAAGTCCAAGCTAAACAAAGATTATTGTCTGTAGTTAAAAAACACTGGTACTTCGAAGGATGGATCTTTGTACATATACTTATAAGAAAATTCATTTAGATGTATTCTGATGGAAAAAAAACATGCTCTCCAGCTTAACTATTTGGCATGTATCATTTCAAAGTGAACATATATAAAAGTATTATTATAACCCACGGTTCAGTTTACTCAAGTTCAGCTCGCATATATGAAGAAACAATATCTTAATTTACCTTTGTTTGCAGATAAATTGGCCACTGCTTTGGCAAATACACTTTCTCTCACAACCATCAAATAACGTGTCGCCTTCCATATATCGCCTATTTCTGTACTGACAAAAACCTAAACAAATACGATATGTATTGGTAATCAGGCACTTTCTGCCGAGTGTTAAGTCTGTATTAATATATGAACAAATAGATCTGTTATGTGGGCGCTGCGATTACAGCTAAAACATAATCACACATGTTTTAACATCATGTAATTACTAGTAATTTATAATTCTTCCAAGATGACTCTAACAATTCACACGTAAATAAACGGCCAATTAACATCAGTACAGTAACAAAACAGTATCACATTGTACTAAACATTAAATGAGATTCAACTAAAGATGAAAAAGGATAAACAATGTATAAACTGTTGAAGAAAGTTGGTTCGAATCCCGACAAGGACTTTGGATTCTATCATGTAAGGAATCTATCTAGCAAGCATACGGAACGTCGGTAGTTCTACTCAGGTGCTCATTCATGCATGAAATAATGTACGTAGGGGCACAACAAGTTAAGCTGAAAGTCGACATGACCTTTTCTGGGTTGGTGCGACGTAAAACTCAACCAAATAAAGTGTTAATGGCACAGAAATAAATACATATTTTTACAATCTTTCCAAGTGCAGATTTCAGCTCTATTATGTTGTCAAAGTGGATTTAAGCATTTAAATGCTTATCACTTGACGTAAATTGCAGCAGACGTGAAATTATATCTGATGCAAACAAAGTATTATTTTGACTTCCACACAAAAATTATTTCAGAAAAAAGACGGCACATCTATATGACGACTTGGACATCAACAATGAAAAGCTTTTTAAAAATGAAAATATTGTCATTTTTTAGACTTAAAGGGTGTTTTAGAAGTTGAATTAGTCAATCGTTGAAGGTTTTGCAAAATTGAACACTGTTATTTTATGAAAAATCTACATCTATTTTAAAAATTTAAAAAATTATTCTTCATAAAAACTACATAAAACATCTGTGTTTTTGGATTATGTTAATCTAAAAAACAAATCAAGGACATACCTTAAATGTATTGTTTTTACCCTCTTTTTCTGGATAAACGAAAATTTTTAACGGGTTTTACTGATTACATCTTTGGGGGTTAGAGTGTCAAAATTGAGGCGAAAATAACCCCCGTTTTTTTCAAAACTTTGTAAAAGTCCATTTTGGGTGTTGCTATTGTAGGGAAATGTTTGGGTTCCCTCTTGGCATTATTGTATCTTCTTTTGGACCTTCTTTTAAACTCCCGAGGGGAATTTTAAATTAAAAGGGTTTTACTATTTTTTGTTTGGGGTGTAAAATTTGTTAGTAGGGAAAAATTTCCCAAATTTATTTGGGGCTCTTTTTTGGGCGGGATAATATTTCCCGGTTGTTTATAGTAATTTTGTAGTTTTTAAACGGAAAAAATTTGTTTGATCATCAAGCATTTTTCAAATTTTTGGGAAGTTCGGGCCTATGTGGGGTCCTTTTTCATTAAACGTTTGGGGAAACGTTTTGTAATTTTGCCCTTGTTACTTCAACACCTATCACTTTCTCTTTATCGGGAGATGCCTGTTTGTTTCTCAACTTATTTCGATGATTAAACATCTTTTTCAACAAGGACATTTCAGTTTTTCCTATTTGTTGAATTTTTGATAATACTCTAGAACTTGTGAACACATGGTTCCCATTGGCAACGGTTGCATGGCGACAGTCTGGCACGAAACAACAATTGTCTATATTACTTTGACGCATTGTGCATCCAATAGGAAGGGCTTTATATTCCTTACATCTGAAAATAAAGTACACATGTAACAGTTATGTTAATCTTATAAATGTTTTTGCAGAGTTGGACTATTACTTTAGATCTCATAGATTAAATCCGGTTAGAATTTAGTGCCGTTAGTTAGAACATACAACAACTTAAAAGTATTGAGAATATATAATACATCACGTAAGATGATTATTCAATTTAACTACCAACGAGACTAATTGTACGGCTATAATTGTTATCTGAAGTTGATTTTAAAATCAAGCAGGTGGTAATTTATTGAATACTAGCATAAATTACTCATTAGCATTAAATATACTCTATTGAATAAATGAACCATGGTGCAATTGTTATTCAGTTTAATGACAATAAATATGCTCGGGACAATAGTTTATATGTTTCATAATTTTCACAGTTAGAATAGAAGACAAGACACAAGATTACATATACTGTTTTTGATAATCAATTTTTGTATCTCTATCACCAAAATACTTAACGTTTTATCTTGAATTTCAAATAAGTCATGTACATTATGAATAATCGTATTCCCATATATACGGTACAGAAAGATCTTAATTAACATAGAATTAACGTACATACAATTGTTCCAGTTATTTCCACTTCCTTAAAAGGTTGACAATGTGGTAAGATCTGATTGTAAAGCAATTATTAAGTGACAATTATTGTACCTGAATCACGACTTGTTATGTAATATGATTTCATTTCCCTCAAACTAAATGTTTTGATTTTCTATTTCTTTGTCATCCCAAAAAAAAACAAAAAATTTTTAAATTGGGGGAAAAAATAGACATCAGTGTCCTCGGTTTAAAATTTTTTTCTTTTTTCTCATTTAAATTACATTGATTAAAGGGGAATTGATGAAAAGGCTTTTTAATTTTTAATCCCTTCAGGGTTTTTAAATTTGTTATTTTAAAATAACTTTAAATTCCTTCACCACTTGTAAAAATTTAGTTTTCTCTCACCTTTCTACAATTTAAAAGATTCCCCCGTGCAAACGTTCTCAAAATACACATGTAGGGGTTACAACCCCCATTCGCAAAAGCTTTATTTTTGTTTAAAGGGCTTGTTTTATATTTACATACTCCCACTGGAACAAAATAAAATGTATAACTTGGGTTATTTCAGATCCACAAACGATAATAGATAAAGCAAGCAGATATTCTACAAAATGCATTTTATATATGAAAAAGATGTTTTTAAAAGTTTAAAATAGATAGAAGATATCTTTGCATAAATTTCATTTTAGGTTAATAAATGTATCATTTTGCGCGTTGCAAATGTTTTATCTTTTTTACGCTTTGCAAATTTTCTATTATTAAAACTGTCATTACATATGTTTTGGAATTTCTTAACTTTAAAAAGATAACAATGTAAATTAAACATAAAAATGTTGCTTGTAGTTCTGGTATTTCTTCGGATATGGCTTCTCTTTGCCTGCCGACAACTGATATACAATGAACATTTTGACTTTGACACAAAAAATATTATAATATATCACTAATATTGTGAATGAAAAGTAAAACATTACTAAACCTGTAACAAGGTAACTGTTATCTGATACAAAATCTTTAGTCTGTATTATAACTTGTCTGTGACCGTGATGGTTTCTGAGGTTGTTCTTTCCTGTCACATTATTTATTTCGTTGTGCTGTTCGTCTTTGTTAATAGATTCAATATTAATATCCTTCTTAACTGTGAATAATCTTATAGGACCGAATCTCGAAAATATGATTGCCAACTTTTCAGTTTCCGTTGCATTAGCTACTTCTGAGTTTCCAAAATGGGTTTCATTGATTCCCCTTTTTTAGCTTTTTATCCCCTTTTTTTTCAAAGTGAGAAAAATTTTTTTTGCTTTTTGGGATACGGAGGGTTTGGGGGTAACTTTTGGAAAAATTTTTGTTGCCTTGGGGTTTCTTTTTACCCAAAAATTGGCGGGAAAGTTGTAGGTGTAGCTGTTGCTATGTCAGTTGTTGTAATAAATGTGTCACTATTTATATAAGTTGTATTATTTTCAATGTTATCCATGTAAGTTGCATTGTAAAAATGTTCACTTTTTGTTATATAGTCTATATGCTTCGTATTTATATAATTGGTATAATTTTCTGTATTGTTTATTGCTTCAGTGTTGTTTGTATGTTCTAGGACTGTAAAAATCTCAGTGATGTTACATTTTGGCACCCAACAGCAGTTGTCTACTGACGATAACTTTAGAGCACATCCGGGTTCAATGTCAGTATATTCACGACATCTGTAATTTGTAAAAACAAGTTATAGTTGTCTATGTCATCTTGTGTATAATTTTAATTTTTGAATTTAAGGCAAAATAATGAACCCATTATGGCCTGTTTACAACACGTCTGAACAGAAATAGTCACCATACATAAAGCATGAAGATGTCATTTGTTGGCAACATTCAAAAAAACCCTTTAAACGGGGGTTTTGTTTTCCTTTTTTCAGGAATTTTCGTTAGTTCATTTCATTGGGGTTTTGTTGTATTGGCCTTTAATAAATTTTTTGTTTTTTTAAATTTTAAATTTAAAATTTTAATTTTATTCCCAAGGCAAAATTATCCCGGGGAGTTAAAATTTTAAATTATAAACTTAAAGTGGTAATTATGCCCAAAACAAGGGGGGTGTAATAAAAGAGACAAGGTTTTTAAAAGCCAAAAAAAAGGGGATTCCCCTTTTTCAGCTTTAATTTTTATTTGCTTTAACAATTCATTTATGTGTTTAAGGAAATTTTTTTTTTTTTCCAAACATTTTTTAACCCCTTGGGAAAAATTTTTTGGCTTTTAACCCCTTCCAAAATTTAATTTTAAAGGAAAAATTGGACAAATTTTTTAATAAATTTTTGGGAAGGAAATTTGAAAAATTTTGTTTTCCAAAAATAAATGGTGGGTTGCCTTTTTGCCAAAATAAAAAAGGCCAAAATTTAAAATTTTGGGAATTCAGGCCAAAATTGACAAAAAACAAAAAGAAGCTTTTTCCTTTTTTAAATTTTTGGGCAGGGGAAAAAAAAAGCCAAAGGAAAAATTTTGAAAAGGCTTTAAACGGGGGATTAAAGTTTGGGCAAAAGAAACCCAAAAAATTAAATCATTGCAAAAAGTTTTAAAACCAAATTTTTCAAAAGAAAAAATTGGCCTACATTTAATTTTTTTTTAATTTTCTTTTTCCCCTTTTTTTTTAAAAACCCTTTTAAATTTCCAAAATATTTTGGAAATTTTTTCCAAAAAAATTTTCCCTTCTTTTTTTGGCATCCTCGTCCCCCTTTTTTTGTGATAGTTCCTTTAAATTTTTTCACCTTTTTCCCTCAACCCTTAAAAACCAAAGTAAAATTTTTTTTTTAAAAATTCAAAAAAATTAAAACAAACCTTTTTGGGCTGTTCAACTTATTTGTTTGTTATATTCCTCCAGGTTATGAACATTAAAGTTTGAAATTAAGAATTATCGGCAATTTATTGATTATTTGGGGGGTTTGATACAAACTAAATGACCGTCGTGCCATAAATTGGATGTCGTTGGTAATGTCGTAAACTAGGACAACCTGTTGTTTACATCACGGTCAAAAAGATTTCAGGCAATAGTACATGTCATGTCCAATATCAAGGTGAGAAAGGTGCCGCGCCGGTCGTATTTGTAGTTTTCCAAATGTAGCAGAATTGTACGAAATGGGACTGATTTACTGGTCGTATTACGGAATAACGGGGTGGTCTCAAAATACGGGTTCAGGGCGACCATTAAAATAAAGAATAAAAAAATCGGGTCTTTTAAAAATTCGTTCGTATTAGCGGGTTGGTTCTCGAAAACGGGGTGGTCGTAAAGCGGGTTTTTTAAACTGTATAATGGAATACTTCATCATTTTATGGAATACTAAGTTAATGACATTTGAATTTACCTTTTACAGACGTTTTCACGTTGGATGCGCTTGTTGTGGTTAAAACTTTATAATTAGGATAATCATTGCTGACACTGTTGTTTTGGTTGGTGTTATTGTTGTTGATATAGTCGCTACTGTTAGAAGTGGTACTGATATCACTATTGTTACTAACATTTGACATTCTGACATCGCTGCTGTCGGACGTATTATTGATTTTGTTAATATGATGGTCGTTCATGTTACTTGTATTATTATTGTTTCCATCTTTTGTTCCATTATTATTCCTGTTAACTCCGGTATCACTATTGTTATCATTTTTATTGTTTTCATTATTACCACTGATGTTATTTTTTTCATTATTTTTGTTATTATTTCCGTTATCACTAGTGTTACTGTTATTACTGTTTGTGGTGCTTTATTGTAACTTCCGTTATTACCGCCGGTAATGATTGTATATGGCACTGTGACGGCACTACAGTCCGGTTGACGGCAGCATTCCTCGCCAATAGGTAACTTCAACACGCAACCATGTGGTAATTGATGATATACTGGACATCTAAATATCATTAGAGAAAAGAAGTTAATTGTTAACTTGCAACCATGTGGTAATTGATGATATACTGAACATCTTAATTATTGTAGAAAAAAGTAAATTGTTTACTTGCAACCATTTTCTTTAGGGAAATCTGAATTTCCGAATAGTAACAAATCAATGATAATTCTAGAAATATAACTTAGAGCAACACGTATTTTACTTTTTGATAACTATTTATGCAGCTAAATATACTATACTCATATGCAACAATAATTTTTATTTTTTTACTGAAGTTGATATGATATCAAATTATGTCTTGTTTTTACCGTGTTTTACATTTGTAATGGCCTGTATCTATATTTAGACAAGTGCATGTGAACTCACAGCCATCTGACCAGTTACCATGGTGAAATGACCCCTTGTAATAACAACCACTCCCTTTCGCTGAAATAAACATTTCACATAATTCAAAACATTTTAGTTCTTAATGGAATCAAGTTAATCAACTTAAAAATGCTGATATAGTTTAGAATTTAGGAAAACGTTTTTGTTTTCTTTCTTTCTTTCTTTTTCTTTTTTTTAATTACGTCAAATAAAAGATAATTTCATGCAATTATGGTTTCCAGCTTCTAAATGTTGCCTATTGACTTAAGTTGAGATTTTATGTTTACATAAGAAGATTTGAACTTTTACAAAATAAGATAAGCTTTATTCTTCAAGTAAAGTAACTCGAAAATACTTACTAATATTTTTCGACTGGACGACCGATAATATGATAGTTAATGCTAGAACTACACATGTTAATTTCAAACTTTGCATCCTGCAAGAAACAAAACAATTATTTAAAAAAAAAACGTTCTGTGAATTCCAGCAATAAAAAAATGTTCAAAAATTAGTTTTGAAGATCTTTGCTCATAAGAGCCAAATTGTACTTGTTTAAGCAAACAAACGATACTTTAAAATTGAACATAATACAATGATCGTTATCAAAGAAAAGGATATATTCATGCAAAAAGAAAAATTACATAAACAATTACATCATCCATCCCTTGTCATTTACAAATCAACATCTTCTATGATTTACAAACAATTCATCATTTGCAAACCTATTTAAATAATCATAATTTAATTAGCAAGCACTTACTCCATTTCTTTATACAGTGCATGTATATACAACTATAAATCGTCGTATGGTAGATCAAAATATGAGTACACATTTATTTTAAAGGGACTCTACTGAAGCGTTTGACACAACAAGAACTAACAACAAGAACTAGAAAAAAAATTATCGAGACATGTACCATTAATTATTTGATAAAAGTCCGAACCAATCATTCATACTAAATTTCATATCATTTACTTGCATCTATTCTCTTGAAAAGTCAATTTTTATTGTGCAAAGTGACCAAAAAAATGAAAACGTTTTTTACACGAATAAAAGAATGAAACAATTTTAACTGTTTAGGATTTAACTCTGAGTGTTTTCTAATTATCGTATGCATACTTTTATTCTTTTCTTTTCTACATACGTATACAATATGCTCATGAAATATGGGGAAAATACACTAAAACATACGCTTTTAAAAATATCCATGAGTTATTGAAAAAATACTAAGATACACAAGCCAAAAGAAACTTGAGCATGCGATCTCTAAATATCCACGAGCGCATGCGATCTCTAAATATCCACGAGCGAATTATGTGTACTAATGATATAAGAAACATCTAAATATATAATAAATATCGATCACTGTTTGTCCAAAAATATAGATAAAAAACATATACGACCACTAGATATTCATCAACAATATAAAATATTATTGTTCCGAGTACACTATTCTTCAACCATCTACTGAGAGGGAAAAAACATAAATATGCGATCACTACATACCCAACTAAAGAATCAACATAAATATAATAATATAACAGCTTTATCTACGTACCATATATAAGACTACAGTATTATCAAAATAGTTCCGTTTTAGCGAAAAGTAAACAAAGCATTAAAATATGCCACAATACTATTTTTTTCACAAAAAATAAAATAAAAAAAGCGTAAACAATAACTCCTTCTAACAAAGAAAAATACTAAACTACTTCCCTATGCACATACATGTTTAACGTTACGTTTGTCACCTTTTATACTTCACGATGTTTTGTGTCATTAATATTATAATAAAATTTATAAAACACTACGATTGAGGATGAATGATGATAAGTGTGTTATAAGGTCCTAGAAACAAATAGTCCTTTGTCTAAATTTATATTTACATACATAACAACACGCTGATATCAAAACGTATCCGCCGTTCTCCTGTAAATAAAAACCTGTAAATAATTTGCTTAGCATAAACTTGAAAACACATCTGAAGTCTGGACAAATTATAAATTATTAATTGTTAAAATGTAATTTATATATGCACATTTATATTTATCATTTTCAAAAAAAAACGTTCTTTTACATTGGAGATTATTATGGTATATTCAAATAAGTTTATTTTAGTTGAAATTATTTGGCCTTGAATTAATCAAACACATCATAAGTTCGTTATTAAATTATTCAAATTCACAGTACCTGTCCTTAATTTCTCTATCCAATTCTATAAATAATAACTTCATGCGCGGCTATTCAATACATTGTTTAAAATAATTGATATATTTTACGTAAGATCAGTTGCGAAGTATTGATTACTTTTACCAGTTTGAGGTATCAATTTCAGTAAAGCAAAAAAAAAACAAAACTTTAAACCTATCCATCTTAATTGAGCATGTAAAAATAGTTGTTGTTTTTTTTTCTTCTTGTGACTTTGAAAAAAAATCACGTTCAATGTAAGTACTCCGCACAAAATTATGGGAGGAGTTCGAAATTGATACAATGCATCATGATTAGGAGAATATCAATCAAATAAGGTTAAATTCTTCGTTAATGAATTTCCTAAATATATTTATATCAAACAAGCATAAACTATTTCCATATAATGTGTAAATAACATAGTTCAGTGCGAGTTTAGTTGTTAATCGTTTATTTACAATCGGTTCCCACCTATCGTTTACAAGAAGAAGACATCCGCCCTTCTTGTTCATGGAATTTATGACGACCTTTGTAAAAGTTACCCTAAGTATAAACATATGTATTATAACTCGATTGTGAAACAAGGTCTTACAGCTTATATGAATCATGGCCCAGGCCTGTTCCTGATCCTTACCAGTATTGTTGCCATATGAACAAATATGCCCGCCTGTAACCAGAGTTAGGGGCTCCAAATCACGATCCCTGGGTTAAAATGCGTCTGTCCATCCGTGTGTCCGAGTGTATCAATCTGCTCGCTTATTCAGTCACAGTGTTGCTGGAGCATTTTTAGCTCTAAGATAAGCTTTTCCCATTGTTTCTGATATTATAGGTCAGTTACATTCCTGACTTTTTTTTCACAATTAGAAATTATGCACTTCAGGAAAAATATTTCAATATTTTCCGTGACAACTGCTTCAGTGTCAGAAAGGCCAAATTAACATTCAAATCAGAAAAACTGACCATAATGAGATATTTTTCATCAATGAAAGCGACTAAATTTGGTTTTAATTTACTATAAGCTGTAAGTCATTAGCTCGACTAGTAAAGAATTATTGTGTGGCCATACATAAATTATATGAACATTGGCTACACTGGTAAAGTATCATTGTGTGGTTCTACATAGAATATACATGTATTATAAGCATGTGCTGTAATTTGCCAATAAAGAATTGTGTGGTCATACATAGGCTATAAAATCTGATAAATATTTGTCTTTTTGCCAGTTATATAATGGTAAATTCAGTGCAAAAAGTGTAAAAAAAAACGCATGTATATGGTATAGTTTAAAATTTACATTTCAAGTATGATTCAGAATGTATTAGTTAAATATCGTTCCAAATGAATACAAATAGGATTTTAGAAAAAGCAAACCATTTTAGTTTAAAGTGTTTGTAAAGAACATATAGATGTATTTATTCATTATTTGTTATTGTAGCTTCATTTTCATGATAATGAGAAAATGAAATATAATGTAAGTAATAATTAATGACGTATTTGGAAGGAAATCACGCATTTTTATGACGTCGGAAATAACGTCAATCAACCGCATTATATTAAAATTATTTCTCTATCGTCATTATTTAATAGCATGTTATTTTGTGTAAGCATGTTAGAGATTACAGATGTACAAAATTTTCTGTTTATAGTACTGAAGTTTGATATTCTAAAGGATCAAATATTTCATGCTTAAACTCACGGTAAATATTATTCTAGACAATGATATTAAATAGTTAATATTAAAATCTTCCCTCGGAAGCAATGAAATTAACAATATATGAAAATTACAGACTCTGATTCTGTTCATGAGGGATAATGTAACTATGCAATATCTCTCAGGCCACCTAGCACCATTCCATACCCCATAACCTTTTTAGGAGGCATGAAATTCTCCATAACCTTTTTAGGAGACATGAAATTCTCCATAACCTTTTTAGGAGGTATGCAATTCCCCGTATACCTATCGTTTTCGGAGACATGACATTTCCCGTATTCCTACCTTTCTCACTCCCGTATACCTATATTTTACGAAGGCATGCCATTCCCCGTATAGATACATTTGTCAGAGGCATGCCATTCCCAATATACCTATTTTTCAGAGACACGCCTACTCTGGTCCTTTCAGTTCCTTTTTCTGAGACATACCTTTACCGTATATTCTTATGCATGTTTTCTGTATTTTATACTTTTTTCTCCAAAGGCATGTTTGTCTCTGTATACTATACTAGTCTATATCTTTTTCAGATATCAACTGTCATTTTCATCTCGTAGAATATTGCAATAACCAATGATTTATATAGTTGAGGTACACGTACTGTGTTTTATAATGACGCTGCATTATAGTGCCCGGAACATTTCATTGTTGATTCGTCCAGATTTTCTGACGCATGGCTGCGAAAAGAATAAGACGAGCTACTTAATATTCTATTATCGAAGTGAGAACTTTAAAATATTACCATTCGACCGTTTGAAGTATAACTCATTAATATTCATTTGATATTTATAACCGACACTTTTATGGCATTGTTGTTTCATTGAAATGTTATATTTGTTAACGTAGCGTTCGTTAGCTAGCTGTACATAATTAACATTCTGCTCTAACGGTTTGGCAATAGATCATCGTGTCCTTTAAAATGCTTTTAAAAAATCCAAGATAATATTGGATAGGTATAAAATATGTCATTTTAAATCTCTGAAAATACCAATAAAATATGAGTGATCAATGTACAAAGTACGATCTGATCTTTAATAAAAAAATTAAGTAATCTATTTCGATATTAATGTTAAAGCTTTTGCTTTATTTACTTCTTATTCTTAACTATTTATACGTTTTACACTTTATTGCTTTGTTGCTGCTGCTGCTGCTGCTGCTGCTGCTGCTGCTGCTGCTGCTGATAATGATGATGATGATGCTTTTCTTCAGTAAAAGAAGTAGGGTACCGTCAGCCGTGTCGCCTTTACTCAATGAGGCATCACGGTGTGCAGTACCCTCCCTTAATTATCGCCCGTCAACCAAAGTAGGGCCTCACCAAGGATACCAAAAAGAAAATAAAGAAACCGTCACGAAGTCGGATGAAGTATTTTCTTCTTTCTGTTTTCCTTAGTGCCGAGAATCTTCTATTAGTGTCCTGTGTTTTCTCATTGCCTTGCACACTCCGGGAAAAAATTGACAATCAATATATATTTGCAAACACATTACTTTCCTCCTATCTGCGTTTTATAACATTTCTCTCTAAAAAAGACAAGTTTATGTGGAAAAATGAGGGCAATGCGTAAATGTCTTTAGTCACAAAGACGAAATGAACTCATTTGTTTATCTGGAATGACTTACAAATGTTATTTAACATGTATTTTTTTACGAGGGCGGGGGAGTAAGCGTTAAATAGCTGTGTAATTTGCAATTCATCTTCATAAAACCTAGACCATTCAAGTTGGCATTTAACAACTTTTGAATCGATGATAAACAATGACAGAACGCATGCACTACAGTCTAAACAGTTCAACTTAAATATATAAATGTTTAATATTCAGTTCACTCACCTTCTCATTAATATATGCACGTACTAAAGTAATGTGTAGGACACATATATCGTGTAACTTTACCGCGTTACGTTGTATAGCGGTAACGCGGTAAAGTTATTTCTTCACGTTAATATGAGAGAGTGACCACTGACCAGTACTTGATTGTTTTGTTGAAAACTAATCAATGAAAATGAATAGTATGTTTATATAGAGGTAAGTAGGGTTACAGTCGTCAGGAGGTGTATGAATTAAAAAATCTTAATAATTTAGAAATTTAGGATATGTTTAATTGCAATGTTGCAAAACGTGTAGTTAAGTAGTACTACATTTTTTTGAAAGGTTTCAAAACGTGTAGTTACGCTGTAATACATTTTGTACTTCTAATGCATCAATATCACTAGTGATAGTCATAAGTTGAAAATAAATTGTTGAACTTAGGGGAGGATGACCGGAGAACTTCATTTGCGTCAACTTGCATATCAAATGAAATAATTTATTATTTGCATTTTCTGATAGTCAATGCATAGCAACGTTGCTCCTTGCTCATTTTAAGGGGGTAGGTAGAAAATGAACATTTAAAAATCTGTGCGTTTGTTCGTTTTTACTATTGCGATTGTAATGTACAAGTAGTTGTCAATCAAGCTTGCGTTATAAAAATATTGACAAGTTTTCACGAGGAAAATGTGAAAGAATCAGTGAATGAAAGTCCGTTTATCAACTTTACCGTTATAATTCGTGGCGCATTTGATATACAATGTATATTTTTGGCGCTTATGGTAATTTCCAGTCCTTTCCGTCAAAATGCGGAGTTATAATGAAGAATAGCCGGGGATTGTGTCATTTCTTGAGTGGCTAATTAGCGCAATTGCAATTCACCACTTATATTTTTAATCTACGTCAATACTATATTAGGGGAGTTGTTAAGGTGTCTGTGTTTCCAGAATTTTGTACTTTCACAACAGCAGGTGTCAAGTGCCGTGTGGAAGCCGTAAAAAGTTGCCCCGTACTTCACTTCAGTGTTGTTATATTTTCTGGTCCTTCGGGATCATTGATGCCAACACTATAAAGTGTTGAGAATTGAGTACCGCTCAAGCCGGTGCTAGGGGGCGTGAGGGATGTTGCACTTATTCATTATCCCTCATGTACAGACTCAATCAAACCGAGTCTGCAATTCTTATGTTATTTTGTTGTGATTAATGCTTCCGAGGGATCACTTTGTTTCCAGAATTTTGTCTCTTAAAACATTGATCATGGGTTCGAGTCGACTATGTTTTTTTTCCATAAAACACGAGTATAGGTAAGTTCCAGAAGACTGATTTTAGAGTGTTTCAAACAACTCAAAGCTGCCATCATGATCTAACTAAATGAATATGCTTTAAATAAGTCAGATTGGTTTATACAAATTTATTTTAGTTCGATTGTGTTGGAAGCTATAAGCTTATTGAAACACTCTCGAATCCGTTCCTGGAACCAACCAGTACTAAGCAATGAATGTAAAGTTTCTTGCTCAAGGAAACAACGGCTTGCCCCTGACAGGGTTTGAACCCACGCGGTCAGCAATCCTTAGATTACTAGTCCGATGCGTTAACCACTCGACCACGCCGCCACTTAAAATAAGTCTTTCAAAAAAATGTAGTACTACTTAACTACACGTTTTGCAACATTGCAATTAAACATATCCTAAATTTCTAAATTAAGTAACCAATTATTAAGATTTTTAATTCATACACCTCCTGACGAATGTAACCCTACTTACCTCTATATAAACATACTATTCATTTTCATTGATTAGTTTTCAACAAAACAATCAAGCACTGGTCAGTGGTCACTCTCTCATATTAACGTGAAGAAATAACTTTACCGCGTTACCGCTATACAACGTAACGCGGTAAAGTTACACGATATAAACTTAAATAAGTCAGATTGAGAATATTATATGAAAAAGAGTGGGTCTTTTTTCTCTCTGGGATACTGACAGTGGTCAATATTATTCAGGTTTCTGAGAAGGAGGAGACACATTGTGTCTTTACACGAACCATTATTTAAAAGAAAAAGAATGCGTGTAAACAAAACAAGTATATAACATAATGACTAAGAAATTATTTTTCAGCAGGAGTAAATATGGATACATAGAAAAGTGGTCACTTTTTGTATAGAATGATGACAGTTGTCCCAGTATTTTATTTCGATACAATGGACGTAATTTCGGATAAACGGGCGGACAAAGCGATTTCATTTAGCACAACTTCAGGACACAATAAAAAGTTTGCAAAAGTTCAAAAGTGTTAAGGTCAATTTCTATTAAGTTGGATAAGGTTAACTATTTGTGCAGTTTTACAGAAAAAGCTGTCTCTTGTAAATACTTTAAGTATGACAATAAAGTCCGTATTCTTTAATGAAAATGACTCTAGGAAGTGTTACCACCGCTCCTAAACAATCTGAGTATTGTTAAAGCACGCACTAGCAAAGCAAATATTTCAGTACTTCATCTGAGTATTGTTATATCTTTTCTGCTCCTTCGGATCGGTATCACTAATCCTTTACTTTCACTTATTGAAGATTGAATACCATATAAGCCACGGCGGTGCTAGGGGCGTTAGAGATGTTGCACTTTTTCATTATCTCATGAACAGACTCAAGCAAACAATAAAGCATAATGTAATGTATTATATTAAAGTAAGTTTAGCCTCTGTAAAAGTTCAAGTCTGTCAATAGACTTGAACAAAAGTTAACTTTTAAGACCGGCATTTTGGTCAATTGAAAAAGACGGTCGCGGTAACATCAAAATTATAGAGAATTTTCTACTAATGCTTCCAGTAGGTAAGAATCAGTTAAAGATCGATTAGATAGGGGTCAATATTCCAATGGTTTCATAGGGGAGATCATTTTTCTTAAGAGGGAGTCAGAAGCTATCGTTTTTTTTAAAAAATGGTTACTTTTCCTTTAGAGTAATGATCGGGTGGTCATTATTCTATGGTAGTAATTTACTTCGTTTCACTGATATAGACCGGAATATTAAGTTAAAAGTGTTTGAAAAGTTTTAAACTTAACAGTTTGGATTAAGAAATAATATCGGTCTTAGCGGCTTTTATCGGCTATTTAACGGCGGTTTGGAGTTTTGATTCATAGGGATTGACCGCTTGTTGTTACTTTTTTCGCAACAAAACGACAAAAACCGGTGTTGAATAGCCGATAAACACCTCTCAGACCGGTATTATTTCGATTCTAACAAGATAAAATGAGGAAAAATTACTAATGTTAATTTTTCAAGCGGATATTACTTCCGGTGCCGATTTTCGTATAACGTTGTTCGATTTCTCACCCTACAGTTGCAAAGATATAGAAATTATTAAACAAAAGAAATAATAAGTAAAAAAGTTTTCAAAAATAAAAACTTACGTCTCAGACTGGATTGTATTGTGTTTACAACAGTGTTTTTTTTTTAAATTATTCTTGCATTTTTGAAATGACGTCATTCTGATGAATGAGTTGTATACTTAGGGAGGACGTCGTTTCTTTTCTTCTTTGTCTATAGAGACAAAATCACGAGGAGTATTAGAATTACTAATAATTCGTTGTAGTACGTTGAGCTAATAACTTGATTTTAAATAAGTACCTTTGTCGGTGCTGTTTCTGCTGCTGTTAAATAAGAAAAAAATCTAGAAAAGTACATGTATGCATGGTTTTGAAAGCAATTTAAGTTCCAAGAAAAGAATATTTTCAGTATATCTTTTCAGTTTATCCAGCCTAAGTCTAAGCATTCATATTACAATGATTACATGTACCGGTTTTGAATGAAACCAACGATTATAACATAACATGTCATAATTAAATTCTCATAGCAACAATGCAATTGAAAAAAGCAGGGTTGGTGGAAGGAATGTACAGCATCTTGATTACAGTTCAATCTTCAACATTTAACGAATTAAAGATGAAAATGTTGTAACATGTGAAAAGATGTGCGTGAAACATGCATTAAATATACTTAGAAAAGAATGGAAGTGCCCATATGGTTTATTACCACAATATATATGCAATTGGTGAACATATAAGATAGATACAGTTGCCATTGTCATTACAAACATAGACCAAAAACATGATTTTGCAAACATGTATGAATTGCTATCAAAAATAAATACTTTTAAGAATCTTCCACGTGCAATATCAAGAATAATATTTATAACTAATCGTGTAACTATCATACAAAACACGCGTACTTTTTACAAAACCTTTATAATATATTCTTTTTGAAATACCCTGGTCAAGTCAAGTAACATGTATTTTAAAGTCGGATAAACAACATAAACTTTATAATGAACTTCAAGACATTTTTTTAATTTTAAATCTAGGCCTTTATTTATATTTATCTACATTGTAAACGGACAATTTAATAATAGAAGCAATAGAAAACAAATGTTGTTCCTTTAACCCATTACTTAATGAGCATTTTGTGAAAAATGGCTGTTTTCATTGAAAAGTCTCCCGTTACAAGTTCAAATTGCTATTATACTATAAAAAATGCTTCAGTACTAATCAAACTTGGCACAAATGTTGACTGGACCATTGCCCTTGCAACAACATGCTCAGGCTTAAATTTTCTGTTACCATGGCAACGTGGGGACATCTCAAATCTGCCAAAAATCACTATTTTGCGTTGATTTTTTCCATCAAAATTTATTTCAAAGTGCTGCAACTTCTCAATGGATTGAGATAGTCAAATGCTTTTCAGCGTTGGTTACACGTTACCTTATGATCAATCTGGGGTAAGTTTTAGCCTCTTACAAGTCCAAAATATTCTTGGCGATGAATTGGGACTGCCGCCTCCCTTCAAACCCACCAAACAGAAGGGGGCACATCCTCCTTCTGGCAACCCCCTGATGTATCTTTTGGATGGGGGGCCGCGCCGAAAAAGTGGTCACTTTTTGTAACAACATTTCTCAAACAAAAACAAGTGTTGGGGCCTAAATAAGTCATTTTTTCACCAATTGAGACAAAAAAAGGGGGGTGAAAAAGGCGTTTAAAGGTGTGTATATCGCGTAATGGGTTAAACTGGCTACTTATAGTTTTTGATTTAAAACATATTCAGATGGATGACAAGATAGTGGTGTTTAACCTGATATGAAAATAATTTAGTGTATAATAACCTAAACTTCCGGAGCGAGTGCAGTGCGAAAATGGAAGACGCAGAGGAACAGCAAACTCTGGTATGTTTTGATATTATATAACCATTTTTTACCAATCAGAATTTAGTTTTAGGATTTTTTCTATAGTAACATTATGTATATTATTTTTGAAATATGTGTCAACCTCTTGAAATAGCATGTAGCGTCATTGATGTATTCGTCCTTAAAATATTTCGTACCTTATTTTAATTGTGCTCCAATTTTTTATGTTATTGTTTGTGTATTAAATTTAAAAAAATCAAACAAGTGACATTGCTATTTTCATAACTTCTTAACATTCATGTTCGCTATTATTGAAGCCAGAATGGCAGGGTTCTCGGGGACGCTTATTTCGGCGTCCCGGTACGCATGTTTATTACAGCTGGACGCAAATATTTCAGAGCAAGGATTCCACGTACGCTTAATTTTGCCTGGGGACGCATAAACGATTGTTTACAACCACAAATACACAAATACGTCAGCGCGTGTCAGTCTATAGGTAGGCGGTCCTATGCATATCGACCCGTGAAGCGATTAGCCAATCAGCGATAACGCTTCCGATCATTATCACGCAATAGTGATTAGACAAATGTATACACACGCTGTACAGTACATGTAATTACCAGATATAACACGAGGTGATAATTTTATGTCTTTGATCAACAGTTGATTGGAAATTAGCAAATTTTACCGACAAAAGGATAAAATTATCGACTATTTATGCCGCAAGTTTAAAGACTGTTTTCTCAAATGACAAATGAGTGTAATTTTGAATGATTGTCGAATATTTTCGGCATTTTCTAGGCACAATTTCGCTTTAGTTTCATTCTTGCAAAAACTTTCTATAAGAGTATCATGAATTTAAGATATTGTGCCGAAATGCCAGGACTACAAACCAAACTACGCTTTTATTCTATCCGAAAATTGATCCCGAACATCGGCAATTTCACGTTCGCCAGAAACCCTAAAATTTCGCAAAAATTCTCAGTTTCCAAGCCAAACATGCGAATGAATTGTTCCTTTATTATTTAATCAACATTAAATCTTTAAATATCGATCTTCAATTTGCCCCCTTTTGAAGATATTTGCCAAAATAATTGTCGATCGGATGAATCTCTTACACACTGTGTGAAGCTGTACACGATTTTCCTATTCATTCCGCTAAACGCTGCCTATATACATTTACGTTTTTTTTTACTAATATAAACTTTTTGTCTTTAGAGTGGACTTATTTAACCAGAATAAAATTTGATTTGGTATAAAAGTGAAGAAAAAAACGATTTCCATTTGTTGATGCATTATAATGAAATAATTTCATAATAAATATTAACAAAACAATAATTATACTATGTAGTTCAGAGTTTCTTTTGAATAACTATAAACATTGGAAGTCTCTTGAAGATTCAAAATATCAGCAATGCTATTGTGAGCATTGAATGACTAATCTGTAAACATATTAATTGCAATGCGCTTTTGGACTCCAACTTTTTCAGGGTTGGGAGTCCATGGACTCCATGTTTTAAAGTCCTAGTGAGAACCCTGGAATGGCTTATTAACCTTTTCGAAAGTCAGTGGCTAGCCTAGTTCTGGCTTCCAAAACTTTATTAAAGTTTATATCAATAAGCCACTATTTAAACATGGTTTCCCTTCATATGATGCAGCTTTAAAGTTTTGGATACGACCCATTATGAAACCTTACAAGAATAAGACACATCGGTACCTTGTTTAAATTTGGAAATATCCTTTTCCTAATTAATTCTTGCACATTATCTCATGAAAATATCATTTCAGCGTAGTTCTAGGCTATCTAAATTATTAGAATATTAATACTGTCAGTAAAATTGCATATCAAACTGCGAAACATCAATTATAACGGTTGATGTTGACCATGACACTTAGGAGTTATACGAGACCTGATATGACGTAATTCAGGGAACCGCTTCGAGTACTGGCATGCGATATATTTACATGTAGAATATCTTTCTTGACATGACATGTCATTTCAATGCTCAAGATTTTATATTTTTTGTGCCCCCACGTTAGTGGCGGGTATTTAGATTTACCCTTGTCCATCCGTCTGTCCGTCCGTCCTTCCGTCCGTCCTTCCGTCCGTCCGTCCGTCCGTTCACTTTTGTGTCGCACGTAACTCAAAAAGTATTTGACATAGAGTCATGAAACTTTACAGGAATGTTGATCAGCATGTGTAGTTGTGCACCTGGGTATTTTCGTCTGGATATTTTTAGTATTTTCAGAGTTATTGCCCTTGACTTAGTAAAATTTTGCAATTTTCAACTTGTGTCGCACGTAACTCAAAAAGTATTTGACCTAGAGTCATGAAACTTTACAGGAATGTTGATCAGCATGTGTAGTTGTGCACCTGGGTATTTTAGTCTGGATATTTTTAGTTTTTTCAGAGTTATTGCCCTTGACTTAGTAAAATTTTGCAATTTTCAACTTGTGTCGCAAGTAACTCAAAAAGTATTTCACCTAGAGTCATGTAACTTTACAGGAATATTGATCAGCATGTGCAGTTGTGTACCAGGTATTTTCGTCTGGATTTATATAGTATTTTTAGAGTTATTGCCCTTCACTTAGAAAATTTTTGCAATTTTCAACTTAAGTCGCAAGTTTCTCAAAAAGGATTTGACATAGTCATTAAACCTTATGGGCAGGTTGCTCAGCATATTTTAGATTTGCACCTGGGGTTTCCCTTGTGGATTTATCCAGTATTTGTAGAGTTATTTCCCTTGACTTAGTAAAAAGATTGACAGAACAGTGGCGCGGTGGGGGCACCCGTGTCCTATGGACACATTTCTAGTTTTTATTTTACAGTACTAAAATAAAACAGCAGATTGTAAGTCAGGAAATCACCTTTATAATTTTGGAGAAAAAAGTATTTTTGTCAAAAGATAAAAAAAATTAAAAGCGCAATTCATGGCATTATCTTTACCGTTGAAGCATATTTAAATGATCCGAGGTCAATCTAGTACTTGTGTAGTCACATGATCAAACATTTTGGCAAAATGGCGGCAAATTGGCGAACATTGCACCTATAGGTAATTATTAGGTAGTTTCGGTTCGAAATAAGTTTTGAAATTGGCTTATTAACAGATTATATATAGTTTTATCAGCATATGTTTCACTTTACTCAGTTGAGTGCTTCATGAATAAATATGAGTCTGCTAGATTCCTGGCAAGATTATCATACATGTGACAAAATTAATGAAATGGGCCAAAATTAGATTTTTCGACTCAAATTTCAACATGTTTTTGACACATTTGGCATAAAGAACCTACATGTCAATGACAAGTGTTGTTATGATCTTATTTATGATCAATATTAATTTATTTTACAACAAAAAAAAGTCACATTTCGTCATTTACATTTTGCACAGTTATATTTGTAAAACAGTTAAGTCTTGTTTCAGACATACAATAAATCAAAACACATAAATGAAAAATGCAAGTTTTGGCATTTTCAGCAACAGGCAACAATGTGACATGTATAAAGTCATTTCTTAGTATATTAAAAGTAAAGCTATTTGAAAATGTTGATAACTATTTACGATCATAAGACTCTGACAGTGAAATAAATTAACACAAGATAAATAAAAATCAAAATAAAATCTTTTTCTTCTTTAAGTAAGAATTGTTCTGTGAATTTAATCCACATTTTTGCCTGAACGATTGTGTAATTCTTAAACAAAAAAACAAAACAAAAAATACCGACTTGCTATAATCAGTTTAGTTAGACATGGTTTTGTTGCATCTCAACAGGTTTTTGAATAATCCATTTTAAATGATTCTGCCAAACTTTAATCTTTATCAGTGTGACAGTAATGAAAGAAAACCAAAGGTGGTGCTGACTTTAATACATAAGGCACAAATGTGACTATCTACACATCTAAATCACAAATTTGTTGTTTATCTGCTTTAGAATGCTTTAAGGCATGACACTTGATTTCACAAGGTGTCAAAAACAGAAGACGGACAAAACCCCACATGTTGAAACCCCACACCTAAAAATTTTATAGAGTGGACAAAACCCCATCATGAATTTTATAGAGTCGACAAAACCACACACCTTTGAATATATAGAATGGACATAATTATGCTGTTGGATGAAACCACTGACCATACAGTACAGAATCATCTATCTATCTGTGTTTGATATGTGAAAGTAAGTGAGCCAGTGAACATGTTTCTCGGAAATATTCCAATTAAAGATGGAAAAGTGCACATAATTGTGCAAGAAGTGATCACATGTCTTAAAAGATAGGGTCTTGAAGAAGGAAATTAGTTTTTAGTAAGGTCCCTAACGTTACATATTTGTTTTGATTTTCATTTGTACACTTTTGCGATATTTTTTACCATTTTAACGAAATAACCACACAGTCTTATCAAAAGATCTTTATAAATACCTTTGATCAAAAATTTTATCAATTTAAATTGATTAATTCCCAGTAAATACAAGATGAGATGGAGTTTATAGGCTATCAAAAGAAACCTTACGACTTTTTTGAAGGGCATCATACATTTTTCACTTTGGTTAAACGCTGACAGTACAGTGCTAATTGGTTAATTAGAGAATAACACTCATGTTTACTTTATCCACTACCAACAATGCATAACCCATGTTTAGTAAAAATTGTCCACGTAATCAAGCATGTGTCAGACCAATAGTGTTGTTCAGCTTCTATATAAGTAAAGCTCTGATTGGGCAATGATAGTCCACAGCCCAGAATAAGGGCGTTTACAACTCTCCGCGCAGCACTACTGTATAATAATCTTAAAGACCAATTTTTTTTTGTAAAATTGATTTTTCTTTGCTGTTAAAAAAGAGCCAAAGGGGATAAGTGCAGAAAATTTGTGCCGACTCCCTCGCGATGAGCCCTGAACATTATTTATTTGTACATGTATTAAAGATTGAAAGTAAGTAATCATTTGGAAACTCTAATGCATGGTATAGATAAGTAATTGTTTTGGTTTTTTAGCAATCTTGTAAACATTTACAAAAAAATTGTAAACATGGAAGCCTTATTTATTAGCAACAGATGGAATATGAATTTCCTTGTTTCCATGGTAACTATTAAATGGAATAAAATAGTAAAAATATGGGTATGATGTTTCAATGTAGACATGAGTAGAAAAACTTTTACAAGAAGTCTATGATTCTAAATCAAGTTCAACACATTAATATATTTACAATAGCTTTAGGCAGTGCTTAAACCTAAGTTAACCTTCTTTATTTCTCTCTATTAGGTAAACTGCATGTTTATATATAGACAGTAACAATTAAATAGACCAAATATAACATGATGAATTGTTTCATCAAGTAATTGATTAATCAATAAAATAAACGAATTATTTTAATAATTTATATTTTTTAATATTTCATTTATTTATTCAATCAATGAAAACTGTATTTATGTACCGTTATACATATTCTGAAAAAAAAATTTAAAAGATAAATTATATTGTATTGTATTATTTTAATCAAAAATGAATATTCAATGCAATTTATACAATATAGATAGTACATTGTATGGCTTATGAGAAGTGTAATTGATAACAGACAAGTTATAAGTGATAATAATATTCCATATAATAACATGGATGCTTCTTACAAATGAATAAAAAGATATAAAATAAAAATTTTATATATATTCAACACTATCATTCTTGTTGTGCCTATCTGAAAACTGTTCCTGAATCAGTAAAAATGCCTGACTTTATTGTATTAGACAAATGAGAATATTCAAAGAAAGTTGATGAAAACACAAGACTTGTATATTTTTAACCAGAACACTACCAATTTCTACATCAGGAAGTTATTTAATATGAACATACAACCTTCCTTGTTAAAATTGAATATTTCAAAGAAAATTTTTGAGCAGAACAGAATGATCTTAACATTTATTCAGATTTGCACATACCAGTACATCATCTTGTTTATACATAATATACATGTATGTCAACATGAGTTACAATAAGAAAAGACTTGTGTTTAACAGTATTAATGTTAGAAATTTGGTACATAAATATTAAAACAATAATATGGAATAAGGAGTTAGAACAAGTATCAGAATTATCATTCTACAGATTATAAAGAATTTCTAAAAGCAAGGGCATTTTTGATGAACAGTGATTATTGTATGAGCTCAATTTTATCATTAGAATTCAATGATAATGATAAAAGGAACACTTTTACAAATACAAATAGTCAAGTGAAAATATCAACAATTAAATAAAAGAAAAATATCAGCAAATTAAAAACATGATAACTATGTGTGGCCCACGTCAAACATAAGACAGTGTCATACAACTACCTACATTACGCATGCTCTCTCTGGCATTCTACACATTTTCTGGATCACCCCATTATAGCTTGCCCATTGTCAGTTGTTTCCATTTGTCTGTTCCTTATTTGTTTCTGGCATTATTAAATTCAAATTTCTCGAGATAAAGTCATCATGTCACCAAATATTAGAAATGGACTTAATTTATTTAAACCTATACATAACAAAGTGACAAAATTGACATGCACTGGGAATTCAGGGCTATTTTTAAAAATGAGAATTTTAAGGTAATTATAGGTAAATGTTTTATAAATGACTTTATATAATAAATATTTTAAGTAATTTATACTTTTATGGATAATGTAATGTGTAGTTAAATATACTGGCTTTGTCAGGGAATTATGGAATGGCCCTGATATGTTTGGAATGGACATTTCGTCATTTCTGTCAGTCAATGTAGCTAAAATGGTTCTAATGGTTCAAGTATTTCTAGAGTTTTATTCACATAGTGTTAAGAGGTATTCTAGCACTAAAAGGAGTTTATTATTGCCTAATGGTTGAGTCTATTAATGCTGGCTAGCTGTTAATTACACTTGTTGAAACATTTAACCTACTTAACTAAGTCCTCAGCCTAAGGGGTAAAATAATTGAACTTTATATTTTATATATTTTCTTAAATATGCAACTTGCTACCACATATATAGAAATAATTCATATGCATACTCAAACCCTGGCTTTAACTACAATAATGCCCCCACCCCCAAGGGACTTGGATGGGGGTGGGGACATTTTAATGTAACCATATTGAATATGTATGGTTCTATTAAATTATAAACACAGTTGACATACACCCGTACCTAAATGACTCTGTATCTTTATTGGAGACAGACTGTAATGATAATAAAATGATAATAAATATCAATGTTAAGTTTCAGTGTTATCTACACATATGTTGACAACACAGATATTGTAACATACTGTGTAACATATACTTGTCAACCTGTGAACCAGTTTTAAAAGTTATAATGACATTTCAATCTAGAAATTAACTAATTACTTGTAGAGTATGGACAAGTTATCCAGATCTAAATTAGGAACCTGATATCCATCTACCTGATACATAGTTTAATGTAATAATAAATTTAAAATAGACTTGCTTTTACCATTCCTTTCAGGTAATAACAGAAGAATATTCAGTTATTTATATTTTGTTGCTTTAGTAAAGATAATTCACGTTTTCTGGAGACAATTATGTTGTAATGAAAGAACATGGTTCTTATTTAACTTGCATTTTATTTGCTGAATGCTAATATACTGTGAAGTGGTGTTATAATTTTTGTTACTGAAGGGTATCACGTTCCTGTTAAGATACATCACTGCATCTCAAATGCAAAGTTATCAAGGGGCAGGACGTGAAGTGGTTGCACACTAATGGTTCAAGCGAGCAAATTACTTGCAAACTTGACAAAATGGCGAACACGGCGTAATTTTTTGAAACGGGTGAACGAATTATTGCCAGGCAAATGGGTTTCTTTTTTTTATTTTGAAGTTCATTAGTATGTCTATTCCATAATGCAATATATATTCCACACTCGGTTAAAGGTTTCAGCATCATAGATTTTGTTTTGATGAAGTTATTGAAGATATAAACTGATCATGTAGATATTTTGAAATTTGACATGTGACTGTTCTGGTCAGTTTTTCTCCCAATTTATTCGAATTTGTAAGTTTTGAACTGCATTTAACAATAACGAAATATGTTTCTGTCAATGCTGTACAAGTGGTTTAGTTCGCAAGTCCATAGATAACGTTCAATACACAAAAATATCTTGTTCAAGCACATTTTGGTTGCTGACTTACATGTATGCTTAAGCTTTTTTGGTTGCAAACATATTTTGTTATTGTTAAATGCAGTTCAAAACTTGCCTGGCAAAAATTTGTTCACCTGTTTCAAAATATCACACCATGTTTGCCATTTTGTCAAGTTTGCACTTGAACCAAGTGTGCAACCACTTCACGTCCTGCCCCTTGGTTATAGACGATGAACACTGTCTTTATATGTACCCACCTTGATGCAAGGAGTACATAGGTTTATAATTCTGATCATCAGGAATTCTTGTTAACTATTTATTTCAATACTGAGTTTCAAAATGATTTTTATGCTTCCTGAATTTTGTTCTAAGTAATAATGGTATTTACATATAAATAGTTGCTGATTTGTTCATCTATCACTTTCTGTTACTTTCCCTTTTGTCATTGTGTTACTATATCTTCAAATGAAATCAGATACATGTATGTAGTTTATTTGTGGAGACATTGAAGCTAAAATTATAAATTTTAACTTACTTTGTAAATACATATATTTATGTGTACCTGTTGGTATTCTTTTTAATATGGAGCTGATATGTACAATTATGTGACTTATTTATATATGATTGATATTCAAATACATGTATGTATTGCATGTATTGGCAAGTCTAATGTTAAAAGGTAACTTGCGATATAACTTGAGCTTGTTAAATACAAAAGTCTAAATATCGTCATTATGTTTCAGGAACGAGAACTTCGCTGGTTATTAGAAGAGCAGGTACATAAAGATCTTGTAGAAGTTCATCATACTCTCTTGGTAGGACATTTTTTGTGCCATTGTTTTGTATGTTTGTGTATAAATAAGTTATCTAAGTAGTAAAGTACTGTGTTCTGTGTCGTCAACTTTCCCCCCTAGGTATAAATTATAGCAAGTTTACTAAGACTCCTCAGGTTTGAGTAATGTTGAAGGTAGAGAATTGCACCCATGGGTCTTTGTTTATACCTACATTATACAGACATTAATAGAATTTTTTGCCTTAAAAATGTATATATTTAATGGAAGTCCCAGAGAGCCGTGCTAAACACCAAAAATACACTTTTGATTGAGAGCCAATTTTCCATTGATAATTTGAAACTATCTCAAGTCTGTTTATAAAGGAGGTTGCTGAATTAAATACCAATATATCACAAAGTTATTCATCTTATTGAGAAGTGAAGTGTGTGACAGCCATAACACCATAACATTCTTGCATTTATTTTTTTAGTCATTGCCTCTGACAGACAAGGATTTGCTCTGCATTAAGTGCTCTTGTTTTTCTGTCTGTTTTAGAGTTTGTTTTATTTCAAGAAGAAAGATATAACTCTATATTGAATATCTTTGTTTAGTGTAACTGATTTCTTCTTCAGGAATGCAGTCGAAGATTTCCATACAGAATGGGGTTTGGTGAGTTTTACAAATCATCAACTATAGAAATTAGTTTTTGTTAATATATTATTATTCAATCTTGTAATTTATTGAGCTCTCTGTAATAATAGAAATGTCATTGTTAATCATGTTTATCATCCCTGTCTCTAAGGCTTACATTGTTCAATTTATGTCAACTGGTTTGAGTACTTTGTTCAAACAGTTAACTGTTAGCCATTTTAAATTTTATATCCGAGTCCTAAATAATAAGCATTGAAGAAAAGAAAAATCTGGGTTTTTTGAAAGAAGCGGTTTGTCAGGTTTGGAAATTTTCTTTATGCATATGGAACCCAAAGAGTAAAATTCAAATCAAAGATGTAATTTTCATGGGTCACTGCTTAGAAAAGTTCTGTGTTTCAAAGATGAAATTTTAAGTAAAAACTTTAATCAGTTTGAGAATCATATTTTAACCAACTTATGGAAAATTAAAGAAATACACTTAAACTCTGTTTGCTTGAACTCAGATCACTCAAATACCTCTTTATTCGAACACATTGACAAAATTCCTATATAATATTTATTGTTCTACCTCGGATCACTCGAACAGCGATCACTTGAACTTTTAAAAGCTGATCTCTGGTCGCTTTGGCCGAAATATAGTGAAAATCACACCTCTTTGGTCAAACATAGAAAGACACGGGTTGACATGTAATTGAAAAATGTTTATTGTCTTGCAAGTTTATGAATGTAACTTATTGTTGGCCACAGATCTTAAGATGAGGTTAAATATTTTCTTAATAATGAAGGAAGATTTTTATTTATAAATTTTTAAGTTTGAATTATGAAAAAAAAGAAATTATGTCAAACTTGCTACTTGAAGAATTCTCTATCTGTTGATTTAAATTACAGCAATTTACTATTCAGGTACAATGGTACGATGTTACACAATAAGTTGCCCAATGTAGCTCTTATTGAATTATAAACAACATCTAGAACTATCTTCTGAACTTGTTGAAAATATATTTCCAAACATTTCCTAAGACAAGATTAGACAAGTATAAGGATTTATCATTTGCTCCTCTTTGCTGGGGCCGGTTCAAAACTTACCAAGGACTTTCATTTTATTTCTTCTATTTGCCAATGCTGTCAAAAATTTTGATTCTGCCCTGATATTCCAATCTCTTTAAAAAAAGCTCTTCATTTTTAGCTGGACTATTTGAAGAATAGGGAGTGCAATTGTACTGGCCCTGTGGATAAGTTTTTCTATGTACTAGTTGGTATTTCCAAAACTACTGAAGGGACTTCACACACTTGTTTGAGAGCGTAATAAGAGGCCACTTTCCAAGGCCCGTAACTAACTTGATTTTGACAGAAAATAGTCCCTATTTGAACTTTTAAAATTTTACCTTATTTAACTGTCAAGCAATGAGAAAAGCATGCTGTCCAAACATAAGCTCTTGTTCTTTATCAGTAAGTAATTTGATTTGATAACCAATAAACAAAACAATTGAATGTAAATATTTGGATCAGATCTGTGACGGGAAATATGATCAATATGCTAGTATGCTCAACAATTTATTCCATACCTTTAAACTGGGATAATTGATACATTAAACTCTGGTAATCTATACATTAAATAGAAAGTTACCCTCTTTGTTTACTCACACTGTTTCTATTTGAGCAGGAAATTTGTTTTCTAGTGTCGCTCATGAAATGTTATGGATCGTGAAAAATGATAGTCGGTGCTAATTGGCTTAGACAGGAAACACATGTCAATCAATATTGTTTGTCTTTTCGTGCTAATTGTAACTGTAGAGTGACAAACAGTAATTGTTCCCTTGTTTTTAGTTCGCAACTACAACACAAAAACTTGCAGTTTCTTTCATCATAAAGAATTCAGGAAAAATACTACATGTTGTTTTTGTACAAGGACCATTCATGGCTAAATCTACTAACACCTTTAAACTTTTAAAGGTCTCTGATCAAAAAGAAAATGTTCCTTGTGTTGATAAGGTTATGGATGGTTGTAATAGGACTTGAGTGGTTTTTGTAATTGCTTATGTTAAACATTTATGTTTACTTGTTGTAGGCATGCAATTCCTTTACTCCTTGAGGTAATTAATCCTTAACATGCTCAATATCTTAAATGAAAGTCTGCACAATTCCATTTGCCATTTTCTAGGAAACTTTCAAAATATGTTCTTGGTGAATAGTAAACAGTGCAGGCCTCAATCAGAGAATATACTTGTGTCGGCTGATCTTGGTTTGCACTAGTTGCATAGGTAAATTCATTTCCTGCAAGCAAGGGTTAAGATGCGTTTATAGAATAAGGTCAATGTTTACATCCGTGCAGTCTGGCCAGCTATATACTGATGAACGTTCAATTTTGGAATTTTGATATTAAAATCCCAATTCAAAGCAGGGCGAAATTGGCAGGGCAAGTGTTCAGAATCCTTACTTTGACCGTTGGTTTGCTGTCATGATGTGACTCCTTTAAAGCAAAAGAAATATCAAATTGTTGTTCTTTGTTATAAGCCTGAGTAACTCTTCTGCATGATACAGAATGAATGAGGACAATTGTTTATGTGTTGTTGTACCAATCACATAGTCATAACATAACATAGCAACATGAATCCTTAATTCCTGACTTAACAAATACATGTATTTTTCATTTTATAATGTAGATGACAGAACAGTTGTGAAACCACAGCGCAATCTTCTATCAAATCCAAGGTAAATTTTTAGCCACTTTTTTTTCTGGCCAAATTAAATCTACAGTGTTTTGTCTAAAATCCATAGGAATAAAACTGATTTTAAAGGGACTCCACTGAGGCTTTTTGACAATATGGGACTGAAAATATTTTTTCCAGATAAATGTACCATTTGATGTAGGTTTAGACCACTAATCTTTGTGCAAAATTTCAGATCATTCTCGCACTTCGTTTTTCCAGAATAATTATTCAAATTGTAAAAAAGTGACCCAAAATGAAAAGTGTTTAAACGCTTTTCACTCAAATCGGGCTAAGAAAGGCATAAAGTATGGATTTTAAATTTATTCCAAAGTATTTTTCTTAACTATCTGTGCATATATTTCTGTTAAAAATGCCCCAGCTCATTTATGTAAGCTATTCAAATGTATTGTTTTTAGGTTTTTAAACTTCAGTGGAGTCCCTTTAATACTGTGCAATATAGCAAAGGTTTCATCTTCAAAAATAAAATTAAAATAAATAAAATTAAATAACCAAAACAACCAAGACAAACTGGACTAATCTGATACTATTCAGCAATATCATCTGCCAGTTTTTATCACTAACTACTAATAGATATAATGTTTCTACCAATGATAAAGTGACAGCATAATGAATTGCTGATTCCTACATAGTTTACCATAACAGCTTGTTGAGACATTTGTGGACACAGGTTAGTACTAGTTAAAAATCTAGGAATGGTCATGTAAATATTCCATTTTGGAGAACTTTAACACTGTTCAAATGTATTATTCCCAGTTAAATAGCAGTGATTTTTCTCACTTAATTGGGAAGAGGCCTTAGCCTCTTGATTTTGGGAAAACTTATCGCTAAAATTTTTGATTTGGGAAGTAAAAAAGCTGGTTTAAGTTAAGATTTTGGAAAACTGCATGATTTTAAAGAAAATTTCAATTGGGAAGAGGCCTTTTTTCGGAGTCTGTTATATAAGTAGGAAAATCTGGAATAGAGGTAACTGTAAAACTGAAAGAAAATAGTGAAACAAATTTATTCTATATCTCTGTTGCTTTTTGATATATTCCAAGCATTTTTCAATTTTTCACTTGTGAATGTTAATATTAAACATTGTAAGGAAGCAGTTTGTTTGGTCTGCATGATTTATAATGTTGTGCATATTACAACATTACTATATAAGTAGGTGTCTCAACGTATAATATCAGTCTGAACCAGTCTGAAAACAAATTTGTTTTTGTTTTACTTGAGATAAGATAATGTTGGTGATATGCACTTTGCATTAACAATTGATTTATGATCAGATTTATTGTCAGAAACAGTGTTAGGTTATCCTGAAATTGCTTCATTTTACATCCCCATTTAGCCAATGGATTTGGCATTGATGCGAGGTAGAGAATAATTAGTGAAGTAATTGTCATTTGTAGTGTCTATTTTACAATTCACAATGAGGCTTAAGTGATATCTCTGTTAGTAATGAAACCTCTCTCGAATTATTTACCATGTTAATTGTAAACCTGTTGGATTTGTGTAATGACTTTGCTCAGCTTTTAATTTTGGTACAGTTCATTTGAATATTAAAGTGACATTATGCACATTCAAGGGTACTTTATAAGTATACAGTGAGTGAACAGGTGAGGGTCAAAATAAGTTTACATTTTGCCATAATTCCTTTCAATTTTATAATTTTCGTCACATATATGTTAAATAAATCACTTGGCCGAAGGAAATTTCTATAAATAACCATCGGAATTTACCGATATCATAACATACAATTTATAAAATGATTGAGGCAGTCTTTTTATATTTTAGGCAGATTTATATTTTATCCTAAAAATATTTAATACCAACTGTTTAGCAATTACCATTAAAACAGTCAATCTGTTAAAATAGATAATTAATTCAGCTCAACATGAAATGAAAAATATGGTTATTATGTCACTACAAGACATTTCAGTTTTAAAATACAAAACATTAAGTTCTAGTGTAGAAGCCTGGTCATACTGCACAGCTGTGTAGGTTGGCCTGGCACTATACTGGTGGTAAAGGCTAGTTACCAACAGTTCCAGCTAGTTTAGGGGTAAGTGGTTTTATGTATATGTAAAATGTTGATATTTTTATTTCACACAGCAACACGGGCCAAATTAAATGTGTTGTCACTCTCCTGGGAGATAGTCTATGTGATGCTGTAAGTATTTGTCATTTGTTTATTTTGTATTCTAATATTAAAGGGACTCCACTGAAACTTTTTGACATGAACAGCCTGGAAATAATTTTTTAAGATTAATGTTCCATTTGATTAGGTCTACACAAATAACTTCTGTGTAAAATTTCAAATAATTTGCTCACTGTTTTTTTTTTTTTCAGAAAAATTATTTCAGAAATTGTGAAAAATGAAACGAAATTGAAAAGTGTCGCAATGCTATTCCTTCAAATTTGGTTAAAAATTGCACAAAAATATGATCTTTAATTTATTTCTGAGTATATTCCTTAATTGTTCAATGCATATCTTTCTGTTCTTATTTCCCCAGAAATTCAAAGTTTTTAGACTTTTGGACCTCAGTGGAGTTCCTTTAAAGAGATAAAATATATCTTAATTAATTGGAGTTACTTCACACATTAGATTCTACCTATACCTTTGTAAGCATAAATCTGTTTTGAGTGTGTATGTTAAAAAAAGATAATGACTATGTATGGTACTGATACAGATTAAGCAATGTTTGATTTGGTTACAAAGTGAATCTGATATTGTTATGGTCATATAGCAACTCTCTATAGCTCTTCTTGTAGAGGAATACCATTGGTGCCACAAACAACCCACCAAACCCCTCCCCCTCAAAAAAAAAATGTAAAACAAAAAAATGTTTAATGAACATAGTATATCTGTGTAATGAATATAGTATATCTGTGTAATGAACATAGTATATCTGTGTAATGAATATAGTATATCTGTGTAATGAACATAGTATATCTGTGTAATGAATATAGTATATCTGTGTAATGAATATAGTATATCTGTGTAATGAATATAGTATATCTGTGTAATGAACATAGTATATCTGTGTAATGAATATAGTATATCTGTGTAATGAACATAGTATATCTGTGTAATGAATATAGTATATCTGTGTAATGAATATAGTATATCTGTGTAATGAACATAGTATATCTGTGTAATGAATATAGTATATCTGTGTAATGAATATAGTATATCTGTGTAATGAATATAGTATATCTGTGTAATGAATATAGTATATCTGTGTAATGAATATAGTATATCTGTGTAATGAACATAGTATATCTGTGTAATGAATATAGTATATCTGTGTAATGAACATAGTATATCTGTGTAATGAACATAGTATATCTGTGTAATGAATATAGTATATCTGTGTAATGAATATAGTATATCTGTGTAATGAATATAGTATATCTGTGTAATGAATATAGTATATCTGTGTAATGAATATAGTATATCTGTGTAATGAACATAGTATATCTGTGTAATGAACATAGTATATCTGTGTAATGAATATAGTATATCTGTGTAATGAACATAGTATATCTGTGTAATGAATATAGTATATCTGTGTAATGAATATAGTATATCTGTGGAATGAACATAGTGTATTTGTGTTGAGGATTATTATTACTAGCTAACTAAGAAACAATTTGTTACAAGAGCTTGGCTGAGCATAATTTACTTAAAGACAAGAAAAACAGATTTAAAAAAAAATCACTTTTGAATCACTGAACAAAATGTACCCCACCCATTCAGCAGATACATGTTACAATATTTCAGGAATAAGAATTAACAAATTGCACTTTTCATCCTATTTTATGTGAATATTATGTTATTTTAGTTTTCTTTTATTGAGAAAAGATGTCATATGACACTTTGTTTACAGTTCAAATTTCTGTCTGCAAGATGTAATAATTACATGATTTACTGAATGCTGTATTTGGATTTCTTTCTTGTTTGTCTTAGAAATATCTTTGATACAATATGATTGATTAAAACAAAAAAAAGAGAAAGTAATATGTCTTGGAACATTAAAGAAACCTGTTATAAAGAAAAATTGATTAATTTCAGTAAATAAATTTGTATCTGCACATCCCTATAGTTCAGTTGTTATGTTAAATTTTACCTTACTGAACGTGATTGATAGACTTCTTGTATTAGGGATTGGTCTGTGGTTGATTAATTTTGAATGTCCTATAATCCATTTGTAGAAAGTTTGGCTGTACACTGTTTAAGGGATTTCATTGACAAATACCAAATATGTGTAGCATTAGAATAATGAAATAATGGGTTATGAAATAATGGGTTATGTAGTAATGGATTATGGAGTAACAGGTTATGAAGTAATGGGTTATGAAATAATGGGTTATGTAGTAATGGGTTATGAAATAATGGGTTATGTAGTAATGGATATAATGAAGTAATTAGTAATGTAGTAATGAGTAATGAAGTATTAGGGTAAGGAAATAAGAAGTAATGTAGTAATGGATATTAAAGTATTAGGTAAATAAATGTAGTAATGAACATGGCTGAGTGGTTACAGTCGTTGACTTCAAACCACTTGCCCCTCACCCCTGTGGGTTTGAATCCCAACATGAGTTTCGGATTCTTCCATGTGAGGAAGCTATCCAGCTAGCCTACAGAAAGTCAGTTCGTGTCTGAAAAAAATGCACAAAAGGGCACCTGAGGTCTTCCTCCGCCAGTAATGCTTGAAATTCACCATATGACCTATTTAGTATGATATTGTTTCAAGTATCTAATATAGATATTACAACTATTTAATAAATTCAAAAATTATTGACTATTTATGTTTTCAGGATATAAGCTTCAAACATAAATCAGGGAAAGATAATCATATATACAAAACTAAAATTGGACCAGACGGTCAATGGAGCCTTCAACAGGTATGCTCTTTTTACTCTCGGCTATTTATTATATCTATAAAACCTAGACAAAAACTTAACAAAAAACAATTGTCGAAAATGTTAAAAAAAGATACTTATTAGAAATGCTAAAACAAAACATAAAATTTGAGAGTAATTTGATACACTTATATCTCTCTGATAATTGTTATGTAAGTGTTATCATATCATCATTGAAAGAAAAGGGTTATGCTTCTGATGATTTTTTATGCAAACAATATTAAAATGTTACGTAAAATTCCTACAATTAATGTAATTGGTCTGCTCATTGTTTGTATTTGGATGGGAAAGGATATAAAAATATTAATATTAGTTTATTGATCTCTCATCTTTATGTTTAAATTATTGTTAAACGTTACAATATATTCAGTTTTGTTTAGACCTGTTTATTTTAGTTGAAAAAAGTGCTCAAATCTTATCTAAGTATTTTTTAAAGTCTTCTGCATGCACAATATAACACTCGGGTATCATACTGATGAACATGAACTATTATAGCAATAGTCATAACTATCATCATCACTTTTTTGAGGAGATAAACTGCAGGAATATGTAGGCTGGCCTGGCTCTATACTGGTTAAACTGCTGGGATGTCAAGGCTGGCCTTACTCTATTCTGATCAAACAATTTTTGTGCCCCCACTTTAGTGGTGGGCATTTAGATTTACCCTTGTCTGTCCGTCTGTCTGTTCTCTTTTGTGTCGCACGTAACTCAAAAAGTATTTGACCTAGAGTCATGAAACTTTACAGGAATTTTGATCAGCATGTGTAGTTGTGCACCTGGGTATTTTCATTTGGATATTTTTTTAGTATTTTCAGAGTTATTGCCCTTGACTTAGTAAAATTTTGCAATTTTCAACTTGTGTCGCACGTAACTCAAAAAGTATTTGACCTACAGTCATGAAACTTTACAGGAATGTTGATCATCATGTGTAGTTGTGCACCTGGGTATTTTCATCTGGATATCTTTAGTATTTTCAGAGTTATTGCCCTTGACTGTGTAAAATTTTGCAATTTTCAACTTGTGTCGCATGTAACTCAAAAAGTATTTGACCTAGAGTCATGAAACTTTACAGGAATGTTGATCAGCATGTGTAGTTGTGCACCTTGGTATTTTCGTCTGAATTTATTTAGTATTTTTAGAGTTATTGCCCTTGACTTAGTAAAATTTTTGCAATTTTCAACTTGTGTCGCATGTAATTCAAAAAGTATTTGACCTAGAGTTATTAAACCTTATGGGAAGGTTGCTCAGCATATTTAGTTTTGCACCTGGGGTTTTGTTTGTGGATTTATCCAGTATTTGTAGAGTTAGATCCCTTGACTTAGTAAAAACCGTTTCATTATGTTGTTATTTGTTCCTTGAGTGCTTGAGTTAGAATCAACGAACTTTAAAGGAATAATGATCAACATCACTAAATTACAGGAATAATGATTCACATCACTGTGAAGCTATGCACCTGGGACTTTGCATGTGGATTTTTTTCAGTTTTGTTAGAGTTATTGCCCTTGACTTACAGTAGTATAAATTTGAAATTTTCAACTTGTTCATGCATAGCTCAAAAAGTATTTCACTTGTAGGCCTGAAAGTTTACAAGAATGTTCGTCAGCATGTGTACTTATGCATCTTGGGGTTTGCTTGTGGATTTATTCAGTATTTGTAAAGTTCTTGCCCTTTACTTAGTAAAAGATTTTTAGTTTTCAAAAAATATTTGACCTAGAGTCATAAGATTGTCAGAACAGTGGCGCGGTGGGGGCACCCGTGTCCTATGGACACATTTCTAGTTTTTATTCTTTTTCATTTGCATTTAGATTCAGGATGCAGCCAATCATCTGGGAGAAGCATTATCTATATTCCATTGCCACGGTGATGATCATAAGTATACATCTGCTCGAGAAGTCATCTTGGTAAATATATTATGACAATCTGTTTATTAATCTTTGTCATATTTGATCACATATGAGTGTTGTATTTTATGACATCATAAAATCATGATATTACCTGGCTTTGCATACAATATGTAAATGAGATTGATTGATCATGTGTGAAACCTGTGTTTTTGTAGCAAATGACTGGCAGTTTACTTTTCTCTTTATTGTGTGTAACTGTATATTATATATTTATAAGCTGAATATTTACACTTTACTTTGAAAACTTAATCATTTGATTGAATAAAATACTAGTGGACTTTACAGAGACATATAGGGGGATAAGAACAAATTATCCATGATATAAATTGTATGATTGTATTGTGCCCTTTTCTGTTAAACACAGCCGGAAAAGAATCTAACTAATAGTGATACATTGATCGTAAAAATCAAATAGAATTGATGAATTAATTTATAGAAAGAAAAACAAAATTAATTAATTGATATTTAGAATCCAAATAGAACAAAATTGATTTTTAAAATTGTAACAAAATTGTTAAATTTACTTTAAAGGAACTCCATCGTGGTCCAGAAACAAATTTTAATTGTCACATAGATCAGCTGGTGTACTTGAAACAGAAAGATATTCAAAATATAATTTAAGAAATACGTATAGTCATAAATTCATTGAAAATTATATTTTTGTACTTTCTGCTTTTTATACCAATTTAAGTGAAAAGTGTTTTCAATTTTGTTAATTTTCGCAGTTAGAAAAATTATTCTGGAAAAATGGAGCGAGTGAATGATCTGAAATTTAGCACAAAAGTTATTGGTCTAGACTTACATCAAATGAAACATAAATCTCTAAAAAATTATTTCCAGTCCCGTCATGTCAAAAAACCTCAGTGGAGTACCTTTAAATCAATTATGTAAATGATTGATTCATGGCAACCTTTATAATGTACTTAAAAAAAAATAAGAATATAAACAGTCAAATGAAACAATTCAGTGAGGTTTATTCATTAATCTTGGTAAGAAATGATCAGGAGAAGAACTGATTCTAGATATCAGTTTAATGACTGTATTGTCCCTGTTTCTGGTGAAACAAAACTGAAGTACATCTAATGCTGTAATTGACTTTCCTATTTAAAAGGTTGCTAATGGCAAGTTTAAAAATAATTCTTGTACAGAAATAAAGTGATTTTATAGAGACACAGATGTCTCCAGTCTGGATCATAAAATAGCCTGTCTTTGATTTTGTGATATAAACCCATTACAGGAAAATTTTATGTGCTTTTTATACAATTTTGTAGAAATTTTCATCAATTTTGTGCTAGAAATGCATATCTGATGTAGAATTAATGTCATTTAGTTGTATAATATGGTGAATGTTGTTAGTGACATGCTAATGTATTCACAGGTTTTAGAAGATCTCCTTAAATTGCTCACATCTGGGAGGACATGTCTCTCCTTTCCCAAGAGAAAATCTATAGAAGAATTAGTGAAAAATACATCTATGGTAAGTTATAATTCTCTACATTTTTGGTCTTGAGAATTGCATGTTTGTACCTATCTTAAAGTTAAAGTCATTGACTTCAAACCATTTGCTCCTCACCGCTGTGGGTTCAAATCCAGACAGGGACTTTGGATTCTTTCATATGAGGAAGCTATCTAGTTAGTTGACTGAACTTCAGTGGTTTTACTCAGGTGCCTGTTCAAGCCTGAAATAAGGAACGAAAGGGCACCTGAGGTCTTCTTACACCAGTAAAGCTGGAACATTGCCATATTACCTATATTGTGTCGGTGTGACGTAAAATCCAATCAAACAAACTTATCTGAGGTTTGGTTGCTCATTCTCAGTTGTTTTAACCGGATCATACCTGACCTGGCGTTATAATTAATGTATATTTTATACAATGTCATCCTTGTTAAAGTGACATGCTGCTTATTCAAGGAAATATGGTGAGTGAACAGGTGCAAGTCAAAATAAGTTTATATTTTACAAAAATTACTTTCAATTTTATAATTTACTTCAAATGATCAAGAAAACAGCTTATAAAGCCAAAGGAAATTTCTGTAACTATCCATCAAAATTTACCTGTAATGTTATATTTGTAAAAGAGTGGGTATATTTTATCCTTAATATTTTCCAATATCAGTTGTTACTCAATCACCATTATGATAGTCAATCTTTTGAAATATATAGTCAATTCAGCTTAACTTGATAATGAAAAAGTGAGCATAATGTCACTTTAATGTATACATGTATGATTGTCAATATTGTCAAGCACTACATGTTTTTCCACAACCTTTGCGTATAACCCATTGTTTCTCAGTTTTTGTCCTGTTAAAATATACAGTTTTAAAACCTTTTGTACCAGTCCAGGACATATGATTTATTTGCTTTTTGCACTAAACCCTATCTTGTAAGCTTTTAATAAATGGGTAAATTTTTAGTTTGTATTTATCAATATTGAAGGTGTGAAATACAGATAGGCTAAGGCAGGCCTCGACACTAACTTTTTTAGGAGGTGGTAAGCCGGACCACTAGATTTGAAATTTAGGTGGTCCTTCCGTAAGTCAGGTGGTCAGTTATTATAACCATATTATTATTTTATTGTTTTTGAATTTTGACTCTTTGACTGCAGATTTAGAAAAAATGCTTTGAATTGATGACAAAGATGTATAATTACCTTTTACAGTAAAGAAAACAGATATATTTAAATATATATTTTTTCATCTAATTAGAAATGTAGGAGAGCAAGTCAGTAAAGTAAAGTTATCTGGTTTTTTTTTTATCTCATTCAAAAACACATAATAGGGTTCGTATTTATGTTATTTTTATATTGAAACGACTACTCCCTCAACTTAAGTTAGGGAATAGTGAAACCATTAATTTTGTGTCTGCCTTATTTTCTTACTGTTATTCAAATACTCATTGCTGATACATGGTATGTCTAACTCTTATAATCATGATCAATTATCTTTTATAGATTAACATTTTTAATAAAGCTATTAAATTATCTAATTCTTGTCTTTAAAAACAAAGAAATAACTAAAGGATAAAAAAATAATAATACCAACGTTAAATATAACTATACTCAAATGAGCCTTGCACCAACCAGATAATTCAACTGGTCCAACGGACCAGTGTCTTTTAAAATTAGGTGGTCCTTGCCAAAATCAGGTGGTGTCGGACCAACTGACCACCGCTAATGTTGAGGCCTGTAAGGGATTACCATATGAAACAATAGCATAGCCAAACATCAGAATAGAATGTCAACTTGCACACATTTGCAAGAGCAACTGCCATATATTTGTGGATCAGGCAAGTGCTGCTTGAAATAAAGTGTGACCTATTACTTTTCAAGCTTTAAACCTGTACATGTTTAAGTTAAAAGAAATTAAGATGTGCCTTGTTTTTGTTTTCAGCAAAATTTCCAGCCACCTGTGCCAAACGATGTAGCTGTCAGTTTTTATGTGCATTCCTCAAAACTCATTCTTGCCATTTATCATTTATATCATGCCGCCCCCAACTATATAGAAATAGTGAGTAGACATCAGGTAAGTGTTTATTATTGACTAGTTGTAAACATTACCTCCCTTGATTTGTGTAAAGGAACATCCACTGGCCCGTCACTGCTTTGGGTTCAAATACCACCAGGCATTTTGGATTCTTTCATGTGAGGAAGCTATACAGCTAGCTGACAAAACGTTCTACTCAGGTGCCCAGTCATGCCTGACATTATAAGTGGAGGGGAACTCAAGGTCTTCCTTCAACAGTATAGCTGGAAAGTTGGCATATTATGTTGACTGCGTTGTTGTGACTTGAAACCCAATAAAAAATATTTTTTAAAAATTGGGTAATGAACATGTAATACTTTGAATACATAATTGTATATTATAAGTTGGATGGATTGCAATAGAGTGTAAAGAATTAACCTGACAGCCTTTAGGTTTGGTCTACATTCACAAATCTAAAATCTGTATTGAATTCATAGACAAGTGACTTTGGCCACTAGAATTCAATTTTTACTAGTAATCCAGGGGTTGGTTGGTTTGATCCTCAGCCAAGAGAATTATTTCCTGTGACACTTGATCACGGACATTTAGTCTAATGGCCATTTGTCTCTCACCAATGATTAACAAATTATTTGGGATTACTAGCCTGTCATTTAAGGAGAACTTGGTAATTACTTGTTAATTATCCAGGAAAGCCGGTGAGGTGTATCAGGTGCTGAGATATAAACAAAATGTATTAAATTGGTGTTAAACAAACAAATATAAGTAGATTTATTAAGCTTCATTGAGAGATATTAATTGAGGGGTATGTAAAAATTTAAAATTAAATTTATTGTCAAAACTTTGTATTAGTAAGTACAAGAGTGTACAAATTAGAGATTGTAGTTATAGTAAGATGTTGACTGGTGTATGATTACAGGTAGAATGTACAGTACAATGGTTAAATGAAGCAGTGGTATTGTTTACACTAGCTATACAACAATGTCAACAACTTTATGATAAGGTAAGCAATGGTTGTTCACACTAGCTATACAACAATGTCAACAACTGTATGATAAGGTAAGCAATGGTTGTTTACACTAGCTATACAACAATGTCAACAACTTTATGATAAGGTAAGCAATGGTTGTTTACTCTAGCTATACAACAATGTCAACAACTTTATGATAAGGTAAGCTATGGTTGTTTACACTAGCTATACAACAATGTCAACAACTTTATGATAAGGTAAGCAATGGTTGTTTACACTAGCTATACAACAATGTCAACAAACTTTATGATAAGGTAAGCTATGGTTGTTTACACTAGCTATACAACAATGTCAACAACTTCATGATAAGGTAAGCAATGGTTGTTTTACACTAGCTATACAACAATGTCAACAACTTTATGATAAGGTAAGCAATGGTTGTTTACTCTAGCAATATACAACAATGTCAACAACTTTATGATAAGGTAAGCAATGGTTGTTACACTAGCTATACAATAATGTCAAAACTTTATGATAAGGTAAGCTATGGTTGTTTACTCTAGCTATACAACAATGTCAACAACTTTATGATAAGGTAAGCAATAGTTGTTTTACACTAGCTATACAATAATGTCAACAACTTTATGATAAGGTAAGCTATGGTTGTTTACTCTAGCTATACAACAATGTCAACAACTTTATGATAAAGGTAAGCTATGGTTGTTTACACTAGCTATACAATAATGTCAACAACTTTATGATAAGGTAAGCTATGGTTGTTTACTCTAGCTATACAAAAAATGTCAACAACTTTATGATAAGGTAAGCAATGGTTGTTTACACTAGCTATAAAACAATGTCAACAACTTTATGATAAGGTAAGCTTATGGTTGTTTACACTAGCTATACAACAATGTCAACAACTTTTAAAGTTTATGATAAGGTAAGCAATGGTTGTTTCACACTAGCTATACAACAATGTCAACAACTTTATGATAAGGTAAGCTATGGTTGTTTACACTAGCTATACAACAATGTTCAACAACTTTATGATAAGGTAAGCTATGGTTGTTTACTCTAGCTATACAACAATGTCAACAACTTTATGATAAGGTAAGCTATGGTTGTTCACACTAGCTATACAACAATGTCAACAACTTTATGATAAGGTAAGCTATGGTTGTTCACACTAGCTATACAACAATGTCAACAACTTTATGATAAGGTAAGCAATGGTTGTTTACACTAGCTATACAACAATGTTCAACAACTTTATGATAAGGTAAGCAATGGTTGTTTACACTAGCTATACAACAATGTCAACAACTTTATGATAAGGTAAGCTATGGTTGTTTACACTAGCTATACAATAATGTCAACAACTTTATGATAAGGTAAGCAATGGTTGTTTACACTAGCTATACAACAATGTCAACAACTTTATGATAAGGTAAGCAATGGTTGTTTACACTAGCTATACAACAATGTCAACAACTTTATGATAAGGTAAGCAATGGTTGTTTACACTAGCTATACAACAATGTCAACAACTTTATGATAAGGTAAGCAATGGTTGTTTACACTAGCTATACAATAATGTCAACAACTTTATGATAAGGTAAGCAATGGTTGTTTACACTAGCTATACAACAATGTCAACAACTTTATGATAAGGTAAGCAATGGTTGTTTACTCTAGCTATACAACAATGTCAACAACTTTATGATAAGGTAAGCAATGGTTGTTTACACTAGCTATACAATAATGTCAACAACTTTATGATAAGGTAAGCTATGGTTGTTTACTCTAGCTATACAACAATGTCAACAACTTTATGATAAGGTAAGCAATGGTTGTTTACACTAGCTATACAACAATGTCAACAACTTTATGATAAGGTAAGCAATGGTTGTTTACACTAGCTATACAATAATGTCAACAACTTCATGATAAGGTAAGTCATTGGAGGACTGCTAGTGATGTGGGAAAACAGCCATTAGTGACATAGTTACAGTAATCTCTTTAGTTTGGTAAAACTGTCAGCATAATTGTCATTTACCTCAAGTCTGAGTTACAACTTTATGTTTATGTTTGTTAATTTAACAGTTCTAGAGAGTATGCCTTGAACATACTCTCTAGAACTGTTAAATTAACAAACATAAACAAGACATTGGCTTTATTTTATAACCAATTAAAGCAGTTTACAATACAATATTGATTTACAAAGTTTGACAACTGACATGATTGGGTAAAAATAAGAGAACCATAGTTGCTTCCCTTGATAAGCCCAAACTAGAAGAATAAATAAGATTAAGATTAATATATTGAGAGGCATTTACTCTTTCATGATATTAATGTTCACAAACTTTTTACATATCTGTGTTTGTTGAATATCATAAGTAGTATGCATATATGAATTGTTTGTAAATAATAAAGTTCCCAACGAAAAATGGCATTTTTTTCCTTGAAGAGTTAACTGAATTACTTTAAAGAGTTAATTGAATAACTTTAAAGAGTTAATTGAATAACTTTAAAGAGTTAATTGAATAACTTTAAATAGTTAATTGAATAACTTTAAAAGAGTTAACTGAATAACTTAAAAGAGTTAACTGAATAACTTTAAAGAGTTAATAGAATAACTTTGAATAGTTAATTGAATAACTTTACAGAGTTAATTGAATAACTTTACAGAGTTAATTGAATGTATTTAAAGGATTAAATGAATAAACTATGTTAATTACAGATTAGAGCAGTTATGTTATCAAACCCACGGAAATCATCCTGACACCATGGATGTATTTAGAAACAAAAGTACAGACAGATATGGACAGTGCGATGACAATATATACAAGAGAAAAGAAAACACAGTAAACTACACATGCTGATAATTTTGTGATATATTTATACAAATCAGTGAGATATGAATGAGACTTAAAAAACCTGTTGACGCACCACGCTAAATATTGTTGTATTCCGGTATAAACTGGTCAAGGCACTTGAATTATTAAGTTCTTAAATCTCACCTTTTCACCCAACGAAATGAACTTTAAAACGTCTAATTCATCTCTTCCCAATGATTTATATACGATAATGAATGAAAATTTTAAGAATCAGCAAAATAAGTGATATTTTTCTACTTTGTGATCATGATTTCTGCAAGGGACCAGAGGTACTGCTCCAACACTTGAGTGAGTTAATTGCATTAAATATAACATGTATATCAGCCATTGTATATCACATACAGTAAAAACCCGCTAATGAGACCAATGAAGGGACTTTACAAATCTGGTCTTAATAGCGGGTTGGTCTCATTAATGAGTTTGGCCAAACAAAAAACTAGGCAATATATTAAGGGATACCATGTACTGTACACATGTTTAATTCTGGGCTAACCTATTTCAAATGAGAATATATTAATCATGCACTATTATTTTTTATTTCCATTTATTTTCTTTTACTTTTTAACATTATAAAAATTTTTAACTTTTTTAGAGGTACAAAATGTATTATAAATGTCTTTAAACACAAACATATTTTTACATTCTTGTTAAAAGAATGACACGACTTACTCTATTAAATCACCATTTTACTACAAAGCACACCGAACAATTAACCTTTAATTATTTTCACAGTTTTCATCGCCGATAACAACTTCAAAAACCTAATCGTATTTGTTTAAAATTATGGAACGAAAGAGATAATGATAGCAGCAACACCTCTAAAAAACTTATTGAAAGTTTTCTGTTCAATACTTTGCGTTTTAATCCACCAGTTATGACATTAAAGGTGTGAAATTAAGAAATTATCGACAACATTATTGATCATTTCCGGGTTTGATACAAAGTAACCTTGACCTCTGCCGTAAACTGGATGTCGTTAAATGTCGTAAAACTAGGACAACTGTTGTTTACATCACGTGTCAAAAAGATTTCAGCAATATACACGAATGTCAATATCAAGGTGAGAAAGTGCCCGCGGTCGTATTAATTGGTTTCCAAATGTACAGAATTTACGAAATGGGACTGAATTTACTGGTCGCATTACGGAATAACGGGGTGGTCTCAAAATCGGGGTTAGCGACCATTAAAATAAAGAATAAAAAATTCGGGTCTTTAAAAAATCGTTCGTATTAGCGGGTTGGTCTCGAAAACGGGGTGGTCGTAAAGCGGGTTTTTACTGTATATACAATTCAGTGAGATATAAGATTTTTCAAGTGAGATCTTACATATATGTGTATCAATCACTATATAATATTGTTGTATATTTTATACTGAGCAATGAGATATTAGATTTTACTAGTGAGATATTACCTATATCACTCACTGTATATCACATTTTCGTATATTTTATATGATTGAACAAGATATTAGATTTTACTAGTGAGATATAACTCATATTATTCACTGTTTATCACTGTGTAAAATTACTCTTTTACATCAAACAGCAATGATATGAAAAAGAAAGCCTAGGTTTGTCCATAAATATGGAATATATCTAATCTTACACACCTCCTCTATTGTTTGTGACAGGTCTATATTTTTCGGATAGACCTGTTTAACAAAAGAAAATCCGTTATGAGGTCTATCTTTTGCACGTGCACAGGTCTGTTCAAGTCAGACAGACCCGGTCATGAAAAGCACGTGAAAAAATAGACCTGCCTATGCACAGGCAAAGAAAACGTGAAACGAAATCAAAAAAATAAAAATTGAAATAAAATGTAAATGATTAACATGATGTTCCTGTCTTACAAACAAACTCGGGATACACTTTTTAAACAAGATATTGTTTATTGAATGCACTAAGCAATTATTCCAGCATCCCTATATTTAATCTTTGAATAAAAATAATGGATAGCATATGAAAGTTAGGTCACATTTAACATTTAATTAATTGCGTCATTTTTCAAAGAAAAGAGATATGTAAGTGGTTCTTCTGTCATTTAGTTCACAATATAACAAAAATGGACGCTTCTCTATGAAACTATAGTAGTAATCACAGCATACTTATTACGAGTTTGAATCACCTAATCCAAAACATCTTAACATTTCTAGAAAATTCACAATACATAAAATTTGTACCTAAAATTCATACCGAAAAAAAAATACCAAACGTATGTCCGATTCACAACTTTTCACCATTTCATGTACGCTTCGCATTTGAAACCGCAGCTACCCACCCTGGTAGTATTCCCACCCGCGGGATCAATCAGATTGTTAAATCCCTGTTAACCCACGCCCCCTCTCTTTTATCATGTTTTTTTATTAAACCGGAGAAAATCAAAACTGATTTACCCTGAAAACCTTCGAAGCCAGGGCTTGTTTCAAAGAATGATACACAACAACGTTAAAGGAATTTTATATTGACAGAATCCAAATCTTGCTTATAGTGACATGCATATACAAGTATACTTAACGTGGAGGCACATCTTCCATTAGTATTTCAAATATCGATAGAAACGATAGAAATGTATTATTCGTATATCATTAAAAAATTCTTGAAAAAAAAAGAAATGAATATTATAAGTGATTTATTATGAAAAAGTTATGATGAACGATCATATTTTATTCTAGAACACTTCATAATCTGCTACATAAAATATAATTTCGGTTCATGTATCATACACTTGCCAACAATATACATATGTAAGTCATTCGTGGTCTGCTAGGTATCCGGACATTGCCCTTCGGACAGTTGCCTCCTCGGAAGTTTGCCCCCTTATGCAGTGGAAGCCATATGCCCCCCTCATATCTTTGGAAGAGGCGGACAGTTGCCCCCCTCCCTGTTTTCAAAAAAGTAAAATATTCAATTGTTTGCTACTAACATTCATCGCCTATTGTCGATATTTCATTGTGCTTAAAACTGCATCAAGAAAATCAATATTGAGAAATTTTAAGGAAGGTAAAAACATTCAAGGCCCAAGTTATATTTTTCATGTGGTTTAAGACTGATTTTGCAGTATTTTATTACAATATTTCTTCTGCGTTAGTAACGCAGTACGGGCTACTTTTGCATATGTTGACACTTTTTGGTAATTTTCTTGGATTGTAAGTGCCAATTGTAATATGTCAATTATTATATTTGTTTACCTTACAATATTTTACTTTTAAATACATTTCCAAAATTTTCATGAAAATTAAAATGGATCTGGAGGCGTGTTGCTTTAAATACACAAAAACTCACGCGCAAATTTGTGAAATTCAAAATAGCATCCATAAATAAATGAACTATAATGTTTACATTGACATACAAAAAAATATATACATGTACACGAGATGACCTCTGGCAAGTGACAAGTCGCAACAGCAAAAAAAGTGGGAGCAAACGTCCGAGGGGGCACCTGTCCGGATTTAAATGTCATAGAATTTGTAATGTCCGATACTAAATACTATCAACATAATTATTCATACTTTAGCATACCTTCCATTACAGACCTATTCACTTTATTATTGACAAACTGCTGATTTAGCTTTTTGATTATTATTTTAAAGGGAAAAGCAAAATATATATTGTATTTAAGAAGAACGTTGATAAAAGCTTACCTCTATATGCGTTGTGTTAAAAAATAATATTTGTGCATTGCATCAAATGCTTCAGATCAGCCATAGCGCAAGCCAGTATAGTTTTACGGTGTGTAAGTTGGATATCGGCCTCGTACATCGATCTTTCTGTTTAGGAAAGACCTGGTCACGAATTTCATGAAACACCTCGAGCGCTACGCGCTCTCGGTGTCACATGAAATTCGTGACCAGGTCTTTCCTTAACAGAAAGACCTCGTACTCGGTCGATATCCTATACTTAAACAATATATTTTCACTGGAACACTAATTACTCTTTGATATTTAATCAGTATTTACCTACTTTAATATATCCATATTTAGAGAGAAATTCATTTACTGCATGTTTAATAGTTAATTTTCAATGTTTTCAATTTCTAACAAGATTTTTATTATACATGGAAGATAAAAGAGGGATGTTGAATTTAACTGTTCGATCAAAGAGCACCTTATTGTATTATCTAAATCTTATTGGCCTAAGATATTTTGACCTTTGACCCTTTTAATTAGGACCAGGAAAGCTATTTGTTAAGTGTATTGTAAATAATGTTTTGTTTTGTTTCTAATACGTGTTTATATGAAACCTGGACAATTCCTCTCCAGGATGATTCCCTCTCAAATATTTTGAGCAACTTTTGACAACCCGGACAATTCTGCTCCTGTTATTTTGACAGCACTGACAATTCCCCTTTGTGTAGAGGTTAATAAATCGAGGGCTGCTGTTTTTATTTGGCTGATGATAATTTGTCAGTTGATGTTGTTGATTGTTTTCATTTAAAGCCCTATCATAAATAATTTCTGAACAAAATAGGTCTCTTAATAAAGGAGAATTGTTTGAGTTGCCAAAAATAAATGAAATCGTAATCACCTGGAAGGGAATTTGTTGAGATTCCTGTATGTACATGTGTTAAAACATGTGTTAATTCTGTGATATTATTAATTATGATGTATAGATAAATGTATATAATTTTAATGAAAGGGACCAATACAGTTTATTATGTTTAAAGCATTTAAATGATATATTGTAATTTATTTTCTTGTTTATATATCAACAGTTTTATTTTGTCTCAAAAACAAAAACACTTGTTATAAATGCAATATACCTCCGATTAAGATGCATATCTACATGTATTTTGTTTTATTCTGGATTCATTTAAGATTTTGGTTTGAATATTGAATATTCAAGACAAAACTGTTGTACTTTGATGAACTTAAAACCCTTTTCTCTGTGTTATGTTTGTAAATTTCTTTTTAGTCCTTACTTAAGTCACAAAAGTCAAGAGAGGTGATCATATGACCAATACACCCTCAGATATTTAGCTTCAGAAAGGAGAAAGTCTTTTTTAAAAATAAAAAAACATATTTTTTTATAATATTTTTTTTGCAAAATTTGAACTGAGCGTGAATTAATATCAAACTTCATTAGGTTAGTCTCATTTAAAGTCTCATATTTAGCATACAAATGTATGTGTTAAAGAATTTCTTTACACTGTATTTTCAGACCTCCCATCATTTGCAACGTCTTGAATACTGATTGAAATGAATCAGTAATGTTGTACAATACCATTTCATTTGCACCCTTTGAAAACTTTGTCCCTTTCCATCAATGTCTTTTCTTGTCTTTTACTTTGACTTATGCATTTTATTCACAGCTTAAAGAAATGTAGTTTTTCTGGTTGGGTTGTCTTTATGACTTCACCATAATCTGACGGCCCAGATCCTCTGGAATAAGGTAATGCCTTCACCGTTTCAGTGAAGGCTGACATGGTATTATTGAGGGTTGAAATGCATAAACTCATGTCTATGTTGTTTCCTTGTTGACGTAGTGGCAATCAAGATCGTTCTCTTTCTGTGTCAATGCTAGGTCCCGGAGATTCATTTGTTTTTTCTTTATGTGCATTTTCTTTGTAAAGAGCTTTCAAAGTACTTTTGTTCATGGATGCTGGAACATTAATTCCTAAATTACTTAAATGTTCTCTGTATTCTTTTACGCCCCAGTTGTGTGGCGATGACATATCACAAGATTTTCTTCTCCATGTTCTGGTATTCAATGCCATTTTTGTCCGATATTTAAATCAGACTCCCTTTTAAAAATTTTTATAAACCTCAGTAAAATAGCAATAAATCCTGTATAAGAAAAGGACTATATGGAATTTAGGTAGTCAATGTTTGTATATTCAATGTTTTTTACAGTAAACTATATCGATTAATTCCGTTATTTGTAAAATATTTTTCTAAATTAATGTGCGTGTAAACAAAGAGCTCTGTGGAAAATTAATAATCAATGTTGAACATTCTAGAATTTATTATTCAGTTTTCAAATATTCCTAACACAGTCGTTGCTGTAGTATGCTAGTGTGGCTTTCTCTATCTAAATGTAATTCTTAATGTTACCTATACTCCTCTCTTTGGTAATTCACATTACCTTAAGTTCATCATCTTTGTCTAATTTTGGCCTTGACCATCTTCTGTAGAGCTTTCTTAGGTTTGTTGGTAGCCCTAGCAATGGCATCTAAAACTCCAAAGAGCTAGAGCTATTTAGCATGAAACCTGAGTAGTCTAGGCAAGTTTTGTGACAGACAGACAGACAGACAACTGAGTAGTGATCTCTAAATGTCACCACTGCTCTGTAGAGCTGACAAAAAAAAGCAGACAATATATCCTAAACCAGTGCAACAGTTTTCATATATTTGCAACTAACTAACTTAAACGTGATGCTTTGAATCCCGTGTATTGTACATATGGGTCAGGGTAGCGGTCCCTAATTGTCCACACACAACATGATGGGATTACCATCCAGACACCTTCCCCGAGTCGCCCATTCCTCCACAATGTGAACTGCCGGTATGCTGCATGTCTATTGGCTTTACACAGGTGACAGTTCATCTGGATAAACCAATATCTCCCTACGATAGAGTCTTGCTAAAGAAAGAACTCCTTCATCTAGCATGTACTGTTCTATGTCCTGAAACGTCACGTTCATCTGGATATACCAATATCTCCCTACGATAGAGTCGTGCTAAACAAAGAACTCCTTCATCTAGGATGTACTGATCTATGTCCTGAAACGTCAGGTTCATCTGGATAAACCAATATCTCCCTACGATAGAGTCGTGTTAAAGAAAGGACTCCTTCATCTAGGATGTACTGTTCTATGTCCTAAAACGTCACATTCATCCGGATAAACCAATATCTCCCTACGATAGAGTTTTGCTAAAGAAAGAACTCCTTCCTCTAGCATGTACTGTTCTATGTCCTGAAACGTCACGTTCATCTGGATATACCAATATCTCCCTACGATAAAGTCTTGCTAAAGAAAGAACTCCTTCATCTAGGATGTACTGTTCTATGTCCTGAAACGTCACATTCATCTGGATATACCAATATCTCCCTACGATAGAGTCTTGCTAAAGAAAGAACTCCTTCATCTAGGATGTACTGTTCTATGTCCTGAAACGTCACATTCATCTGGATACACCAATATCTCCCTACGATAAAGTCTTGCTAAAGAAAGAACTCCTTCATCTAGGATGTACTGTTCTATGTCCTGAAACGTCACATTCATCTGGATAAACCAATTTCTCCCTACGATAAAGTCTTGCTAAAGAAAGAACTCCTTCATCTAGGATGTACTGTTCTATGTCCTGAAACGTCACATTAATCTGGATATACCAGTATCTCCCTACGATAGAGTCGTGCTAAAGAAAGAACTCCTTCATCTAGGATGTACTGTTCTATGTCCTGAAACGTCACATTCATCTGGATAAACCAATATCTCCCTACGATAAAGTCTTGCTAAAGAAAGAACTCCTTCATCTAGGATGTACTGTTCTATGTCCTGAAACGTCACATTCATCTGGATATACCAGTATCTCCCTATGATAGAGTCGTGCTAAAGAAAGAACTCCTTCATCTAGGATGTACTGTTCTATGTCCTGAAACGTCACATTCATCTGGATAAACCAATATCTCCCTACGATAAAGTCTTGCTAAAGAAAGAACTCCTTCATCTAGGATGTACTGTTCTATGTCCTGAAACGTCACGTTCATCTGGATATACCAATATCTCCCTACGATAGAGTCATGCTTAAGAAAGAACTCCTTCATCTAGGATGTACTGTTCTATGTCCTGAAACGTCAAGTTCATCTGGATAAACCAATATCTCCCTACGATAAAGTCTTGCTAAAGAAAGAACTCCTTCATCTAGGATGTACTGTTCTATGTCCTGAAACGTCACGTTCATCTGGATATACCAATATCTCCCTACAATAAAGTCTTGCTAAAGAAAGAACTCCTTCATCTAGGATGTACTGTTCTATGTCCTGAAACGTCACGTTCATCTGGATATACCAATATCTCCCTAAGATAGAGTCATGCTAAAGAAAGAACTCCTTCATCTAGGATGTACTGTTCTATGTTCTGAAACGTCACTTTCATCTGGATTAAGCAATTTCTCCCTACGATAAAGTCTTGCTAAAGAAAGAACTCCTTCCTCTAGCATGTACTGTTCTATGTCCTGAAACGTCACTTTCATCTGGATAAACCAATTTCTCCCTACGATAAAGTCTTGCTAAAGAAAGAACTCCTTCATCTAGGATGTACTGTTCTATGTCCTAAAACGTCACATTCATCTGGATAAACCAATATCTCCCTACGATAAAGTTTTGCTAAAGAAAGAACTCCTTCATCTAGGATGTACTGTTCTATGTCCTGAAACGTCACTTTCATCTGGATAAACCAATATCTCCCTACGATAAAGTCGTGCTAAAGAAAGAACTCCTTCATCTAGGATGTACTGTTCTATGTCCTGAAACAAGTATTGCTTATTCATTTCACAATATCAAAATGTCAGTTTGGAAATTAAATAAATTTTATGACATGGTTTACAAAAAGAGACATAGAATCGAAAATAAATGTAGTAAACCCTGTCTTTGCAGCGTCTTGGAACTACCAAAGATGTTTATGTAACAGCTCTAATGTTTATTTACATCCAGTGTGTGCATAAAGAAACCATTTAATAAACATGTAACTTTATTTGTTTATCTAGAATTTTTTTTTATTTCATAATGTCTATGAGTTACTTTTGAAGTAAGTTACTTACTGGCAATTGACTTAATCAATACTCCGGAGTGTATCCACAACACACACGTTCTTCCACTGTTGGCATGTCCCTGCACTTACTGCAACAGCACCATGAAGGACTTGGACTTCCTGGTTGGGGATGAGATCCTGCGGGTTGGGCTGGCTCTATCCTGTCCAGAATGTCTAAAATAAGACCTGGCTGGCGGTCTACTGCCATACAAAGAATTTCCTTTACTTTATCTCCTCCCAAACTTTCCACGAGTCCCTGAAGTATTAATTACATGTAAAAGCAGAGTATTTAACCAGAAAAAAAATCAGTAACCGCAAGTTATTTTTCCATTATATATATTATAATATATCAGAATAACATTCATCAGTAATTATCTTTCTTAGCTCGACTATATGAAGTATATGGAGAGCTTTCCTTCTTGCCCTGGCGTCCGTGTCCAGATTTCAGATTAAAGTTTTGGTGCAGTAAAATATTTTGCACTTTAACTTTGTCATTTCTTAAGGTATCAACTTCAATTCCTTATCATCAACCACATTTTTTGAGACAAGGTTCATAACTCTAACACCAATATTTTCAGATTTATCTCCCCCGGAACTTAGAATTTTTTTTTACTGTTACTTCTTATTTCTTAAGGGAAAAACTTCATACTCAAATATATGTACCTTATTATCATCCATATCTTATGTGACAAGGTTCATAACTCTAGCATCAATATTTTCATATTTATCTCCCCTTGAACTAAAAAATATTATTTTTTACTGTTTCTTGTTTATTTCTTAAGGGATCAACTGCATACTTCAAATATATGTACCTTATCATTAACCACATGTTATGTGACAAGGTTCATAACTCTAACACCAATATTGATTGATTCGTTTGCGTTTGGCTTCAATCGGTTTGTTACTATGAGCCCCTCTCCAGACCCTCCTTGGCAAAATATCCACCCATATTAAGGTCGCTTGCGGGAAGGCCTCACGAAGGTAGCTAACTTCTGACTCCATTATTCTTTTAAGCTTTATTAAAGAAAGACTCGTTAAATCATTACCACCAAGATGGATGATGATGACAGATGGTGGAGATGATAATAAGACTTGTGTCTGCACTGAATGTCTGAATGATGCCCATCTCAGCCCTCTAACACCCCACCAGGCTATGGTCTTGCCTTGTATACTTAAGTTGACCTTTCCAGTCGACTCAGCCCGTTATCCAGCCCAAAACGAGATGGAATCACCGACCACCCAGATGTCGGCGTTATCCTGCAGGAACCTGCTATCTTCCCCACCAATATCCTCTGTCTCTGGTCTCGAGCCACGTGCCACCACGTGCTCCGTGTCTCCAACACAAGCTTCCTCTGGCGCTGCGCTTTCGCCCCCTTGTAGTTGGCAGATCATTTCGTTGGCATTCGTCACTGACCGCTCTACCCTGAGTCGCTACTCTTCCTCGTCCGGCACCTCATCGCATGCCTCTACCTCGTGGCGTATTTAATAATTACGAAGAATTGTTAATGCAAATTTTTCCTCTGTCCAAGCGTGTTGAGCTGTCGATTAAAACTAGCTAACTGAGAGCGTTTGCTATATCAATTTTACTACTTGAAACCGTTTCCTTAACACACCTACATAACATGCAATCATTTTAACGGGAACCAAACGTATGAATGAAGCGGAATGTGTATATAAAAAACGGAAAGATCGCATGGTTATTTCTCAAGCTAAATAAATGAAATTATTTTGTATAAAAATAATTTCATTTATTTAGCTTGAGAAATAATATGTGATTGACTTTGGGCGCACAATATGTTTCCAAACCTTCATAGTACGTCTGAAGCAGTTTTCTTTGATCAGCAGTAACAGGCCAGGTTGAAAAAAATTTGGCGACCCTTCTCACCAACCCATAGAATAAAGTAGTTGCACTGAGCTTCCTCCGTTTTCTTTTCTAGTGGCCCTCCAAACATAAAATCTCAATGTTTTTTCAATTTTTTGAAGATGTTTGGAATGTCTCTAGCTTCCGAGTTCAATCACGTATTTGTTTGTGAATTTTTCTTTTAACAATGGTTCTAGATTAGAAAAAGTATTTAATTTCTTAAAATTTGATAATTATTATAAAGAATTTAATCATTTTATTCTGACACCATGTTTTATGTTTGTTTGTTTGGTGTGGATGCGGAGAATATGAGATGTTGATTCTTAGACTGTCTAACAATTAAATGAAAGCTGTCTTTTTCTAATATTTGTAATGAAAGCTAGTAGCTGCTTTTTAAACCCTCTTGGGGCCCAATGTTCTAAAGGTGATTTTTTGGTTGAGGGGCCCTTTGGGCCCCGCCCCGTCCTTTTTCCCCCCCCAAACCCTGTCCCGTGCACCCGTAAAACCCCCCAATTTTTTACACAAAACAACATGATTCCCCAAAAACACAGGGCCCAAATTTTTTTTAAAAAACTTTGCAGGGATTTTCTTCCAGAAGTTTTTCTTTTTTCAAAAAAATTTAAAACCCCCAAAACTTTTTGAGTTTTATCCCAAAAAAGTTGCCCAAAAAGAAAGGCACACCCCTGTTTTTGCGGGGTTTGGGGAAAGCATTTTCTTAACCCCCCCCTCCCCCAACACCCCCCCAATCCTCAAAATCAAACCCAAAAATTTTCCCCAACATTTGTTAAAGGGCGATTTTTAACCCTTAGCACAGTTTAAAAAAATTCTAAAATTTTAAAAAAACTTTCATGCAATGTTACTTATCATAAGGATCTTATCAAATGAATAAAGCGTATAAATACTAGAAATAATTACTATAAAAATACTAATTAAAAAGGCAATGTATGTTCCAGTAAAAGAAATATAATTTACTGGTTCATTAAAAAGAAATGCAAAAAGAAAACGTAATAATTTACCTTCTTATAATCTCGTCTCTTCTTGCCGACTTTTTTGACATTTTCCCCAGACTTTAAGAATGCTTGAATTGATAACAGTTGCTTAAAAACGGCTTGCGGACGACCCTTGAATGTTCCATCTATATACCATGTCCCCCTTGGCTTGTTGAAGAAGGTCCAATTGACAGTCTAATAGCGTAAATGACAATATCTTCGTTCTCTTGCTGGTATTCTCACACAATGAAATCGTTCACCCAAACTCTCCAAAAAAATCGTTCACCTTAAATTCTCCAAGAACTGCTTGTCTACCTGCAAATATGTAATAATTAATTTGTTACATAGAACCAAATGAAAAAAATTTTAAATAAGGGAACTAAAGTTAAACTTCACTCAGAAATAAATTGTACAAAGTATTTTGCAAACCCTTTTATTTTTCCAATATTTAAAAGTAAAATTATTTTTTTAAACTTCAAAAATCTTTTTGCCCACGGGGTTCTTCAGGTCTCATTTTTTTGTCGGGCCCCCTTTTTAAACATAGTTCAAAAAGACCCGTCTCCCCCCTTGGTTTTTAAAAAACGGAGGTTGTTTTCCCTGCCCTGAGGGCTTTTTATGGGGGGTTAAATAAATTTTTCAAATAGTTTCTTATTTTGGCTGCCCAAACGTTTCCCCCCATTGGCAAAAAAACTACATTTCCAGTCGATTGCCCCCCCCCAATTTAAAACTGTCGGGTTTATTCCCCCCCAAAATGGAATACCCCTTTTGGATGACACTAGCTTCAAATTTCCCACCCCCAACCCCGGAACCATTGGTTTGACAATTTCATATTTTGATAGTGTCTATGTTCTCGTTTACGTCTTAATCAGGAGTTTTTGGGAACGATAGTCCATTGTCAGATATTCAATGTCCTAAATCTCTTGAAAAATGGTTGGTGTTCCCCTTACTGGGATTTCAAATGGTACACTTTAAAATTGTCGATTTCTTTTCAGCAATTAGTTGTGGGATTATCTGAAGTTCTGATATGTCATCAACATCAGGGGAGCATTCAATACATGTAAAGTCACTACCATCGTGACGGCTTTTCTGGTAGTCTTCAAACTTATACCTAAACACACGTATATTTGGACAGGGTCACAATCGTCTCAATGTCTGCCTGTCCCCCATAATTCATCATGTATATATAGTAAAAAACTTAAAAAAATCTTCGTGTGAAAATCCTAAAGACCTAAAGCTTAGAAATGTTTTTGGCATGAAACATGTTCTCGTGTATGTCTACCATGTTTGTTGAAATAAAACCCCTAGGGTCAAAATTGGCCCTGGCCCAGGGGATCAAGGTAGACAGTTTAAATGTTTATTTTCCCTCTCTTTTATAATCATCATTTTATTTGCTCTGACCGCTCACTTAGTGACAGGCTGAACTGTTAAATAAAATGGCTGCCAGAGTTAAAATTAGAAAACAACAACATCTTAACAACATCTAAACACTGGTTCAGTTTTGAAATAATTTTACACAAAAATTTCCTTGGTGAAGTGTACAAAATTTTTTTCAGATTTAGCTGTCCCTTGTTTTCAAATTGTGCTTCTGGGGTGAAAAGGGGCTACACTTTGACCTTTTGTCTTACTTCTCGGGTGAGCGATCCAGGGCCCTCTGGGCCCTCTTGTTTTCTGATCCTTTGGTTAAAGGGCCACTTAGTCTTGCCAGTGTAAGCAAAATTGGCATGTAGCTATTTCAAGCTAATTTAATGATCCTTTTATTGTGACAGTATTCATTGTTACTCAAACCACACACCTGCAAACACTGATGTATCTTTTAGGACCACTACTGATTATATAATAGCCCTAGCAGTATAAACATCCTGGCTTGAACATACCTGAAAATGACTTTATCAATCTTCCAAATGACAGGTTTTGATTTACTTTGCCAATCTTATCTTTCTTCTGTGGCTTAAATGTGACACCTTACATCAGATTAGTTCACCTTTTATTTCTTTATATCTACGGTATATTTGTTCTGGTTTCATTTCATTGGATTCTTAAATTATCTTTGAGTAAAAACAAATTCAAAATGGACTTAAACACTAACACGGCATAGAAATGACCTTGATCTATAACTTGTCAAAATGTGCAGAAAATTCTCTCTGTTGCTTGTAAGTAATAATGTAGAAATGTAGTGATAAAATAGTAAACAGTGACATATTTTGCATTTTAAATTTGATTCTGAATACCTGTACTTATACAATTTTTTAAATGTTTGGTTAAATCTTGTGAAGATGTAAATCCAAAATAATTAAAGATGCGTTTCTAGTCTCTGTAACAGCATCATTCTCTGAGGGGTTTTGGTCATGTGATTGAATCTGCTCATTTCTGGTGATTCCAGTTATATAGATACATAATGTAGTTATATAGATAACCAATTTGTCATTTTAAGCTCATCTGTTTCAATGAAAAAATTGAACTATTATGAATGCTGCCTTGTGTTGCAAAGACTTCAATGTAGCACGTTATTCTGTCATTTTAAAAGTTATCAACATGAAACTTGGAATACTTGCTTATCATGATGAAAACTATAATTGAGCAGCGTCACGACAAAACCAACATAATGGGTTTGCGACCAGCATAGATCCAGACCAGCCTCCGCACATCCCACGTGCAGTCTGAATAGGATCCACAATACTGTTCGCCTTATACCAAACTCTCTTACCCAAGTAGAGAAACTGATAAATCCAAAGCGGATCCTAATTAGCTGCTTTTCAGATCGTAGGCTGGTTGGATCCCATGCTGGCGCAAACGCACTTATGTTTGGTTTTGTTCATGACGCGGACTTAACAATTATTTTTTGTTAAATATATTTGATGTATTTGAAATCCATTCATATTTAGTTTTCTATATTATGATCTCATTTTACCACCACCAAGTGTGTTGAGAATGAAATATTGTCAGATTTTTATGTAAGAAAAGTACTTTTGATTAAATAAATCGGACAAGTTAGACTCGCAGGACATAACTAATATTTTAGGGATTTCTTTTTTTGTATTTTTTTTAAAAAGAGGAGAAACAAAAATAGAAATAAAAATAGCATTATTGCATTCTCATGGCATTAGATTTTTATGTATGCAAATATTTTGTTGTTTACTTTGTTATGGAAACAT